CTTAGACTACACTGTTTATTTCTCGCGCTTGTTTTCAGAATCTGAATCTGAATCTGAGTGCACTCTGGCCGCACCCGTACCCTTACTTTTGAGAGTGCTCGATTGTTAGGGACACGAATCAGGAGTGCACTCTGGCCGTAACCTTCGACTACACTGTTTATTTCTCGCGCTTGTTTTCGGAATCTGAATCTGAATCTGAATCTGAGTGCACTCTGGCCGCACCCTTAACCGGGTATTTATGTGGGAAAAAACTCAATAGACGGGTATTTTCATTATTAAACATAATTATCACGATCTTAAAAAAAAATTGTGCGTGTCAGCTGCGACGCACGACTGGAGTTTACATATAATTAATTTTTTATTTAAAATATAATATTATCTTAATAATTAACAAAAATGGTTATAAAAAGATAATTATGTCACTAAATCTTTTACGTACAATAATAAATAGTACATGAAAATAAGACACATGGACGTTCGTAGATACGTGGTTCACGAATCTTGAAAATACCGCATCAATGGTTGTACCATACCTCGTTGTCCCCATTGCTCTATCAGAAACAATATCTAAAGTCAGTTCAGATTTTAAAAAAATATTAATGTCAATCCGTCATCTTTATTTGTCAAAGTTGCGCGACATAGGATGCGCACCAAAAACGTAACGAGGTCATTCATCGATAGATTACTCCTCACATTTTTCTCATACCGGGCCCCTTATATATGCAAATCGATTCATAAGGAGTAAACTCCAAAATTTTATTTTTTATTTTTAGAACAAATGTAGCGAAAAATAGGTACTTTGCAGTGGCGAAGCCTCCTTAGAACACGATTCCTGCCGGCTTACCTTGCCAGACTCTAATATATTTACATTCAAGCACAAGCGAACATTGACGTATACGTTAATGCAAGCGACATAATTACATTGCGTGCTTTGTAAAAAATATTCTTTAATATGCTGGATACAAAATAAACAATGCATTTGATATCGCGCATACGCACACAGATCCGCGCCGTAGTAAGCTGGATAAGCCGCTTATCATATTGGGACTTCAAATAAATAAAATGTAAGCACAAATACACATTACTACCACATGCAACCAATCGTCGATATAACAGCGATATAACCCGATCTTAGATAGCCTGCAATCTTTATTTGTCATGTGTTAAGGCTCCGTTTAGCTTGAAGTTTTCGGCCAATCGCAGACACCTGGCGCTCGGCTCTGTTGACCTGACGTAGTGAGGCCATTATTTCGTGCGCATTCGCATGGACGGATTCGAATGCTAATTTATCTATTGTGATAAGTGATTAGCTTGATTGTGGTATATATGTAGTTTAACAGAATCGAAAGTAGTGAAATTTTACTTGCCAAGTGTTGCGTATAGTGTTTGTTTTATTTCACCGTAAAGGTTTGTTTGCTTTTTTTTGTTTCTTGCCGTCACGTAGAAGTGGTGGCATTAGTACAAATAGATTGTTGTCTCACAGATTTCCTATTAAATGAGTTAACTTCATTCTCAAAATATTCGTTCGAAAATTAAACGTGGCCATGGTCTTCGGCTCTGTCTACCCCGAAAATCCCTTACTGGCGTGATACTATGTATGTACGTAGAATAGAAATAAATTAGCGGTATTTCTGCTAGTTTTTATTTGTGATGATGCTGCTGGCAAGTTTTATTTTGGTTCTTTGTTTTTCTATATATTTATTTATAATCTGTGTATGAGTGACGTGTGCTTTATATGGTTTTTTGAACGCCACTTTTATCATAATCGACATGGACTGTTCATATAATACCAGTGATGTCATGTATGGTGAAGGTGGTGAACACTAACAACTATACAGCAAGCATGAAAAAACTGCATACAACGCAACGCAAGCACCATACCTAACATTTCGTTGTAGTTTTGGGAAACAAAATCCCAGTCGTCAATTAAACCAACATAATAACACAAGTGCGCACAGTACGAAGCCAAAATAACGTGTAAGATAGATAGATCCCCAAAGCGTACGCCACTGCTACTACCTGCCCCCCCCCCCCCCCTACCCGCGTACGTAGTTTCGAATTACTTGTCGCTAAGAGCGGATGAACACACAAACGGACAGTTTTTTTTTATTTTATTTAATTAGATAGCATGGAGTATATATAACGTTTTTATTGAATTATGAAAATAAAAAAAAGTTAGATTAGCTCTAACTAGTAGTAATAGTACTTACCATTTGATATATACATGTATCTCCACATTACCTCGATGTTACATATGCTAAATATGAAAAAACCCGAATATTTTCCCATTTGGGAATTTTCCCTGGGTTTTTTCCCACATTGGGGTTTTTTCCGGGTAAAATCCCATCTCTAATTCAGACTCAGAAAACAAGCGCGAGAAATATACAGTGTAGTTCAAGCAGGTTGCCTGCGGCCACTATGGCCACCCTGCTTTAACTACACTGTTTATTTCTCGCGCTTGTTTTCAGATTCAGATTCAGATTCCGAAAACAAGCGCGAGAAATAAACAGTGTAGTCGAAGGGTGCGGCCAGAGTGCACTCAGATTCAGAGTCAGATTCAGATTCTGAAAACAAGCGCGAGAAATAAACAGTGTAGTCGAAGGGTACGGCCAGATTGCACTCCTGATTCAGATTCAGATTCAGACTCAGAAAACAAAGCGCGAGAAAAAGCAAGCAACCTGCTTAGACTACACTGTTTATTTCTCGCGCTTGTTTTCGAAATCTGAATCTGAGTCTGAATCTGAGTGCACTCTGGCCGCACCCGAAGTCTAAGCAGGTTGCCTGCTTTTTCTCGCGCTTTGTTTTCTGAATCTGAATCTGAATCAGGAGTGCACTCTGACCGTACCCTTCGACTACACTGTTTATTTCTCGCGCTTGTTTTCGGAATCTGAATCTGAGTGCACTCTGGCCGCACCCTTTATTTCTCGCGCTTGTTTTCAGAATCTGAATCTGAATCTGAGTGCACTCTGGCCGCACCCGTACCCTACTGCTTTCGTGTGATGCGTGCAATCGTACCAACTCAGAGACAGAAAATTAACAAGTGTTTTTTCTTTAAGTTGGCATTAGTCGAAATGTTTTATATAAATGTTATCGTTAGTAATATTATTTATTGTTGAAAAATTATTAAACTTTCGTTTCATTATAGTTTTTTTTAAATAAACAAAGTTAATTCAAACTGTGTTAAAAAATTAAATATAAATATGGATGAAGGTGCAAACATTGACTTATTTTTTTCAACACTAAACTTAGCGCACTCTGCTGGTGCATTTGAAAACTAATTCACGTTCCAATTAAGCATCAGCATAATTCGGCATTGTGCGCCACTGAGTCGCATTATGCTCTGTAATTGGAAAACCACCGAAATTTCAAATTACAAGAAAGTCTAGTTTCTTTCGTTTTCTAGGTTACTAACATAAATAAAAGTAAAGAAACGAGTGCGTGTGTGTGAGGTAAATACGTTATTTTCTTAAACGCGCTACTGACATGCCTGCCGCAGGGACAATCTAGGGTGCACGGTGGTCGGCCCAATATCGGCTTGTCTCTACCTACACACATGCCTGCTATTCAGTGTTCGGGCGTATGTTGAGCTTAACACACGCGTTGATGAAGGTCCCAGTGTTATCTAAAAATATATTACCGTAAAAAAGGAAATACTGGGTGAAGAATTGGCAACAGAAAGAAATGTATTGTAAATAAGTAATGTTTATGATTAGAAATAATCCACGCGGACCTGGCAGCAGACGAGACTCGAATCCGCACCCTTCGCTGTCCAGGCGAATGCACTGATCAATTATGCTACCGCGGCCCTGACGGCAATTAAAGTCATAATTTTAATATTTTAAGCATGTAACTGCTCAATGTTTGAATCTAAAGAAAAAATTACAAGAAAAAATTTAAAAAAAACTATTTCTATTTTTCTAGTAATATTTTCTTTAGAGTTAAACATCGAGCAGTGACATACTTAAAAATGAAAATTATTTAAAAAAATATATAAATAATGTTTTTTTTTATCCCACATGTGGGGCCGGTCTTTATATACTTCGATCACTCGTGTCCAAACTTCATGCTCATTATGATCTGCCGCCATCTTGATCGAAATACGTGCGCTGCGTGTGACAGCCACTAACCGACTAATGGAGAAATTGGCCCAATCGCACTACACACGCGGCAACGTGCAGGACGGTTAGGACAATCTAGTGAGCAAGGGTGGTCGCGCGCTCCTGCCGCCCTGCCGCAGGCCCGATTTCGAAAATTGCCCCAACTTGCCTACACATATCACAATTCAGGAGGCAATACAGGGTCATCCCCACTCTTATACCCTAGATTGTCCCTGCGGCAGGCATGTCAGTAGGCGCTTTTAGGTATGCTATCTCCATAGGTTTCAGTACTCGGAAGTCGCACTGCGCATTACCAAACTTCACTGTCATGATATAATTTTATATTAAATCATGACAGTGATATACATAGAAAAATAAAAGCTAAATACATACGGCTGATTGGTCATCCTACTCGTCTATTTTTAATAGTATTCCGTCCATATATCATGTTTAGGACTCCGTCATTCCCATGTCCCTTGTCAGTCGTGTTTTTATAGTACATCCATGTTCTGTTCGATCATCCATCCGCGTTCTGTTACTGATAAAACGGGACGAATGAGAAATATAGAACCGACCGATGTCTTTCTCCCTTGTGGGGTGATCACGTTTTTTTTAAGAATTTAAACGGGTTTAGTTTTATTTTCTAATTAATGAATGAGTGCGAAACTGTGCTTTCAAGTATACAGATTTATGTTTTCAATTCCGCTCCAGTATTTTAAGCTACCAATTTGAATACAAAAAATACTTTCGACTCTGATCAGAATTATACTTTCTATTCTATGAGAATGATAATTCATAAGCCCACAAACGTCAAAACGGCCATCATAGCGAGCTGCTACTTTATTAATAATTTTCTGCATACTTCTCCTTAAAATAAAAATATTTATTGTATTTAAAGTACATTTATTAGTTAATATAAAAAGGTATGAAAGTAGCCAGTAGGTACATAAGAATACTCTATTTTATAACTATTTTACTTTTACAATGGCTTTTCCCGTATTTTCACCTCTAAGAATACCATTCAGGGCTTCTACCATATTATCGAATCCATGATATATTCTTTCCTGGTATTTAAGCTTCCCTTCGCGCAACCAATTTAAATTAGCATTTATTCCTTCCTCCCACCGATTGACCCATCTGTTGACAAGAAATCCCTCTACTTTCAGTTCTTTAAAAACTATGGCCGGTTGCAAAATAGTCACTGGAAAAAAAATGAGCACGTAATAAACAATCGAGCATTTAAGTACTTAAGTATAGGTATATAATGGTGTCGATTCTGGCACGATTGTCAAAATCTAAACTTAAATTTGACAACAGTGTATCCTTTTCATTCTCTATACAGAATGAAAAGGAGAGACTGATGTTAAATTTAGTTTTAAGTTTAGAGAATCACGCCAAAATCGACTCCATTGTTTTTGATTTTAATTTCACTTGTTTGCAGTAACATCCGTTACCTTTAGGTAAAATGGAATCGTTGTATGAAGATATTGATCCGCAAACAGCTATTCGTCCGTAATGATTCATGTGATTCATTATTGTGGTACTGATTTCACCACCAACCTGTTTATTACAAAAAAATCATTAATTTAGAAAATACATGATTTTCGACGTTTCATCCAAAGTCGTAATCGCAATTGTAGACTCTTTGTCATAAAAAAATACTTACGTTATCAAAATAACAATCAACTCTTTTAGGTGCAGCCTCTTTTAAAGCAGCTTTAATATTGGAAGTTCTGTAGTTATAAGCATGATCGAAACCTAATTCCTTTATTAAGTACTCGCATTTATCATCAGTACCAGCAAAGCCTACGACTCTACACCCTGTAAAATACGCACAATATTACGTTGGTAGTCTATATTAAAAAAGATTATAACAATAAAGTACAGTTTCATGAATTTAACACAAGTCTGCATATATTAAGTACTTACCAAGTATTTTACCTATTTGTCCAACATGAGAGCCTACAGCACCAGCAGCTCCAGTGATAACAATTGTTTCACCTGGTTTTGGCTTACAAATTTCCTTCAAGCCAAAGTAAGAAGTATTTCTAATAAAGAAAGTTGTATCAGCTATGTAAACTTAAAAGTCACATCACTTACGTATCAAGATGAACAGATCCTTACCCCGGCATGCCTAATATCCCAAGACCTAGAGACACTGGATATGAACCAAGTTCTGGTAACAGTGTAAGGGGCAAGAATATTTGTTTTGGTTGTTCACTTGGATTGCATACTGTGTGAGTGCGCCACCCAAATGAACCTGCAACATATTTACCAACAGGAAATTTTTCGTTGCGGCTCTCTATTATCCTACAACGAAAAACCACACACTGTTTAAAAAAGTACATTTATGATTTGATTCAAATACTGCATGCTTGATGAGAGATTATGTATTAATTTCAGTTTACCAACTTACTTTGCCACCTGTCCTCCGATCATATCTGTCGGTAATTTATAACCAATCATGTATGCTCGCATATATGGGTCGACACTAAGATATTCAGCCTCCGTTAGAATTTCTGAAAAGATAAAACATTTTATCTCTTTTCACCGATAGGGAAATGGAGAAAGTGTCTGCATTTAATTACCTCCATTTTTCAGTTCAGGCAGTTCCTCTTCGACAATTTTGAAATCAGTTTTTTTTGGTTCTCCATCAAAATACTTTGTGAGAACATATTTTCTTGCCTTTACACTTCTGCTCAGACCCGAGTAATAGCGTGTTCCAATTTGAAAATGTTTGATCAATGTAGCCATAATGGTACACTCTATTCTGAAAAATGAAAGTATGCAAGTAGGTTATTTAATTATATTTTATTGCTAACCACTATGCACCTACTTTTAAGGAAGAATTATATAACTATTAGAAAAGTCATAATATTTTTTGCCTTTAACTAACGCAATATTTAAGAACTAGATATTTCTATGGACCATTAATTTAATAAAGACAATTGACAAGAATGTGGGTAACATAAATATACATATTTGTGTTATTACCCACTTTGCTGCTTAAAAACAAATGCCAGAAAATAATGTATAATATGCCACAAAGATATTATTATGAAAGATATAGATAGATACCCACGAGTTACATGAGAAATTAATTAAAAACCTTTATATCCTTCGATAGGCATTCAATTCAAGGAATAAAAATGTTGCTATCCTATTTCCGGCTATATAAAATTACATAATGTTCTCGGCCAAACTCGTTTTTAGGATAAACTAGTTTTTCCTAAACCAAACCAATTCATCCTTTAGGCGATAGGATAAACCGATACAGACTAGCCTAAACTAGTTAGGCCTAAAGGTACTATCCCACTCCATGTATATTTACTGCTTAATCTCGAATGTTAGTGTTCTCATACTTTTGACAACCCTTTTTTTACCCAGGGAAATGCTTTGCGCATACCCTGCTACTGGGTGGGCAACAGGGTTATGTGGGACTCTCCATACTGGCCTACCCACTAAAACCCTGCGGTGTGCTTGTCACCTCCGGATGTGACGATGTGGGATCCTTATTGGGAAGCAACCACATCGTCCCGGCGGGCCCGGCTTTGCGCCGGACCACTCCACGGGCGGAGTGATTCCCATGCACACCTTGGGCATCCCTCTCCGTCAGCTGCGACCGTGCAATGCAGGCGTGAGTTCACCCGCCTCACGCCCGCTGGTCCAGATTAGGGTGGAAGAAGGCGGAGATATTGCCGCCTCCTCCTACCTGTTCGTCGCCGTCTAAGCGGATCCGCCATAACGTCGTCCTCGCGCGCCCGTTCTGCTGTTTCCTTCTGCGTCATAACTTCCTCACAGAAGGAAACCACGGCCTTTCACTTTTGACAACCCTGCGCAGCGCGTCCTTACCCACGACAACACACATCGTGGGATAGCACCTTTATATGAATAAGGACACTCCAGGATACATTAATTTGGCCTTATCTATACTTATTCTGCCTAGTCACAAATGTTCAAGCAAGACTTGTCTTAGCGAGAAGTTTCTTCGTGTTTAAGTGAGAAATTTTTAGAGGTGGGCGATGATAACCAATATTTTTCCAAAAGTCTCTGAGGACTGCAGCCACAAAATATTGGTTGGACCATGGTAACGTTTTGTACGGTGTGGCTGCGTAAAGAACTATTTGACAAGCAGATGCAACTACAAAAAAAAATATTCTCTGCAATTCCAAATGCCATTAAAGTACATCATACAAAAATAAGTGAAATTGATTTAATTAATAAATGCATCCTGATTTTATTAGTTCTGCTGTTTTATTGGAGTTTACTCCTTAAGAATCGTTTTCCATATATAAGGAGCCCGGTATGGAAAAATGTGAGGAGTAAAATCTATCGATGAATGACCTCGTTACGTTTTTGGTGCGCATCCTGTTCGAGCCAAAATGACTCTTAAATCCAAGAGCTTAGGTGCAAAAGAATTAAATTGAAACTACAGTGTATTTTGTTATACCATAGATTTCTTTATTAGTTAGGTGACGTTTTGCCTATAAATAGCTCCAAACATATTTACAAGCGTGATGCAACGAACTATAGCGCCTTTTTTTACATATGAACTAAAATTTTAAATGCACAAATGGCGTATACGTAATCGCCCACCAAGGGCAAACTGAGATTTGTCCTTATAAATATTTAACTTAACAACATGACTCTGTTATAGCCCACCATAACTTAAGGTAACAAAACAAATAAAAACACTAAGATGTACAGTAACTTAAAATAACAAATTTTCATTTTAACAGAACATATTATATTACCATAAAGCACTTGTCACTTTAATTAATAATGCAGACAATGTTGATTTAATTAATATTTAAAAAAATGATAATAGTCTGATAATAATAATTACATAATTTATCAACATTCCTAATGATATATTTATGCACATTTGAAATTGACTATTGTAAAAAGTTTAATGTAAAATATTTCGTTGATTACTTATAATAAATGTATATGAAATGAATAAATATATATTAAAATTTATAGTATTTTCATTAATTTGTTAATTTACCCTTTCATACAGTATCAATCTTTTTTAAGTTAAATAAACTCTTTTTGCGTCTGGTTAGACTATCGAACTTATGGAGTAAACTCCAGTTGTGCGTCGGAGCTGACACACACAATTTTTTATTTCCTATTTATGGACTACGTCAAACCAATTTATCCTGAAGTGTACATATATTCGTATTCGGCTCAACTAGTTCAGCCGAGGTTAGACTGGTTTCTCTGATCGGCCCTAGGACGCATCAGTTTAGCCTAGTCTGTACCGATTTATCCTTAAGCCTAAAGAATGAACTGGTTTGGCCTAGGAAAAACTAGTTTGTCCTAAAATCGGCCTGTTACATAATATAGGTATATTTAAATTCTACTTAATATTATAAATGTGAAAGTTATTATATTTGTAAGTATGTTTTTCAATGGAGGAGCTCGATGGCGCAGCTGGTTAGCGCGTTCGGCTGCTCGTTGAAGCTAAGCAACTTTCGCAGTGGTCGGTCATTGGATGGGTGACCGAAAATCTTCTGTCTCGAGTTCCTCCGTGCTTCGAAAGGCACGTTAAGCCGTTGGTCCCGGCTGCATCTGCAGTCGTTATCACCAGCCAATCCCCACTGGGCCCGCGTGGTGGGTCATGGCCCAATCTCCCTATTCCATCCATAGGGAACGCCTGTGGGGACATTAATAGGCTGAAGATGATAATGTTTTTCAATCACGCAGAAACGGCTGAAAGTATTTGGATAAAATTTGGCAAACATAAGTAACTATTTGTAGTTTATTGAGGAGAATATTAGGAGTAAGAAGATTTACTAGCCGTCTTAACTGTAACTTTCGTGACAATTTTTATAAAAGAACTAGTTGACTCAGCGAACTTTGTTCCGCCATAAAAGTCGGGTTGGCGGTAAAAGGGCGAAAATTTGGGGTTGTATGTATTTTTTATGCCACATTAAATGTATAAGAATAAAAAAAAATGTCACACTAAAAAAACGCTTAGGAGTATGAAAAATAGATAGTGGTGCCAATTCTGGCGTGATTCTCTAAACTTAAAACTAAATTTAACATCAGTCTCTCCTATTCATTCGGTATAGATAATGACAAGGATATACTACTGTCAAATTTAAGTCTATAATAGGTTTAGTTAGAGAATCATGCTAGAATCGACACCAGTAGCCGATTCTCAAACCTATATAAAAATATGCATATAAAATTTCCTTCAAGCCGTTTCGGAGGAGTATGGTAACTAACATTGTGACACGAGAATTTTATATATAAGATTTATTTTTAATATACCCACAAACAATGAGTTATAAAATTCTAGTTCCTTTAATAACTACGATAATGATGTCGATTCTGACATGATTCTCTAAACCTAAACTTAAATTTGACAACAGTGCATCCCTGTCATTCTCTATACATAATGAAAAGGAGAGACTGATATTAAATTTAGTTTTAAGTTTAGAGAATCACGCCAGAATCGATACCAATAGTAGCGGCACGCTATAATGGCAGTTTGTGCGCTAATAATGAAGTTCCATATTCGAAGTCAAATTATTATTCTTCATTGTCATCGAATCGGTATTTTGGGGGCAAAAAAATTTCGGTACTAATACCGAAAAAAAATGTAAAAATTATTAAGTCAATACGATCACTGCATATAGGATCGCCGAGCGTAAGTTAACATTTACATGTTCGATTTATTGAATCTTTTTATCAGCTAGTACAAATTAGTGCAATATTAGTTAAAATTCCAAAAAAATTATACCCCGCTGTGACTTTCATTGGATGTAATTACGATTTTTTTTTCGGAACGTTTAACCCTTCAGTATTGTAATGTGTCAGAACGGCGGCGCCGCGGCGGTCCAACATAGCAAGCCGCGACTAAAAAAAATAAGACAATGGCAACGTTTTCCTTTTATTCCACAGACATTTAAATGCTGTGTTTTATTGAAACTTTTTAATCAGATAAGTACTCGACTACTGCTTGCAATAAGAAACAAAAACTAAATAGCATATACACCGTGAATTTTGAGTTACCCAAGAAATTTTACCAGCTAATTCAGACAACAACTTAGTTTATATTTCCACAAAAAAAAATATTTTGCAATTAGCTTTTCCGAGTTCTATAAAGGTTTAATAAAACAAATAAGTCATGTATAAATAATGAAACATTGATGTTTCTGAAATTGAAATATCCATAGACATAGTATTTATCCATCTTCGTTTGTTTGCAGTGCCTTCCTCCTCCCTATCTATCTATGTGTGAGTGAGTGAAGATTGTGATTGCAAAATGGATGGCTTTCGTTCTCGTTTTGTTTGGGTTGGAAAAGCAGCATTATCAAAACATTATTAAATAAATATGCCTACGTTAGAATTTTAGGATAATAGTGTAAATAAATGAAATGCCAAATAAAAAAATATATGTGACTTTTGCTTCTGAGGAAAGAGAATGCGTGTGATGAAATAAACAAGACTATTCGTTTTACTAATAATTATGACTTCACTTCAAGAGTTTAATTGTGTGTTTTGTAAAGAATTCTTTGATAATAAAGAGGAACTGCAGATCCACTTCAGGTAATACCTCAGTACCTAATTATTGTCTCGACAAGAGTACCCGTTCAAACAAACAAACATCGAATTACTATAATCTACTAATATTTCAGAAAGCACGGTGATCCTAAATTCAATCCGAGTTCAAGAATAAAGAACCGTCCTGTTAATGTAGCTTCCGATGAGAAACGGAATGAAGATGTGGAAATGGTTAGCTGTGATGTTTGCACAGAAGAATTCCCGACAATTTCTAAAGCCATTACTCACAAACACAAAGTGCACCCAGATCACGACGCAAAATATTTCTGCCCCTGGTGCGGAAAACTATTTACGATGAAGGTTAGAATTTTTGACAACTACTAATCTGTAAATCTCGAGTGTGGTGTTGAACTATGTCCCCCCCCCCCCCCCCCCCTCACACCTCACTATCTGATTGATAAAAATCTACCAAACTCTGTTGGCTAACAATATTTATGTCAATGTTAACTTAACAGATTCATTTCAAAGCTATAGTGTATACTTCATAATTATATGTATTTAAAATGAGGAGCTGGTAAAAAAAGGCATAATTACGCATCTGGTTAAACTACTTTTTTTTTACAATCTGGAGGTTTTGGCCGCTGAATTTGAATCTCAACTTATTTTCAATCAAAACCGCCTAAAACAGTGTTAAAATTACTAAATTTATAAGTTAGAAACCATGCCAAAATCTCACTGTAGGTATAACATTCAGTTTTTTACAGCTCTTTTAAAATTTAATTTAATTATATAGTTTACTTCACCTATTCCTCAAAAAGTTCACCGAAAACTCAATGTAAACACATAAAAAATGTATCAGAAATATTTGTTAAATTTTGTGGAAAATCAGGCCTTGTGTATGTTTTTAATATTTTGTGTATGATATTAAACAGACTATTATTTACATATTATTTATTTTCAGCACTTGTACAACAAACATTTACAAACAAATCACAAGGAACTAGAGAGAAGCCATGAAGTGAACTTTCATTGCGACATTTGCAATGTGGACTTTTTTATTGCAGCAGCAATGTTGTATCACAACAAATTTTTTCATAGACAAGACACAAATTTATCATCCATTGGACAGTCAAAGAAATTGAAAATGATCAATAATGTAAAAACATTGTGAATTATTCTTGTTTGAAATTTGTGTTCTCATAATTGTTATCAAGTTATAATTTTAAATCTTTCCAGGATGTTCTTCAAATTTTTTACTGTTCATTTTGTGGTGATGAATATGACAACAAAGTCAATTTACATGTAAGCATGCAATTTTTTTATTACTACATTCAATAACTATACTAGAATGACATTGTTTTATCTTCAAAATACCTAACAATTTGGTTTAATTGACAAAAAGGCTAAACTGTACTTTCTGGGCCCAAAAGTTGACACTAGGTTATATTAGTGTTGCGTTATTTTTTTAAGACCTTTTCAACTAAAACATCTAAAGTGTAACCTCCCAGACAGCAGTTTTTCTAAAAAACTTAGTATGTAATTGTTATTTTTATACAAATAGAAAATTTTATATATTACTTTGAACTAAGTTCTATTCTGACATTAAAAGTTATGTGATACAAGGGATCAACAAAGATTGCAATTTTTCAAATGTATAATGGACAAGCCGTCGTCATCGTCACTATCCTAAAAATGAGGCACAGTTGTGTATTGATTATACTTTTTGCCATCCCTTTTATTTTATTATAGTGTGCAAAAACCTATTTTATGCATGTGACTCACTTCCCTAACAATGGTGTAAATTCTGGCATGATTCAGTTAACTCAAAACTAAATTTGAGATCAGTTTCTCCTTTTCATTCTGTATAGAGCATGACACACTGTTTTAAAATCTAAGTTTAGGTTTAGATCATCATGCCAGAATAGACACCATTTAGTTGAAATCCGGCCTGCAACCAGCTAACAAAAATCTAAGTTTGTCACAGAAAAGTACCATTTACCCCGCTGCCTAACCTGTCACCTACCTATTTACTGACTTGACCTGCCATAGATACTGATAGTAAATATAGGCACAATAAGGAAAAAGTTTGCCCGTCCCTGCCCTAGAGGCTCAATGTCTATGAAAGTGAGAATTATTTTATCTTTTGTCTTTGTTATTGTGATAAATTAGGGTCAGTTTCAATAAACAAACTCCAGTAAAAGATAGACCTACTAGAGCTTTGTAGCCAAGATATTTTGATTTATTAAGATTATAATAACAACTGTTGCTAAGTAAGTGAACCAGATTATCCTTAAATTTGACTAGATGTCTACAAGGGAATGCATGATTTATTTATGATAATAATTGTTGTAATTTAGATAAACAGAAGTTTTTCTTTTTACTAACCTCTTCTAAAATGTACTATGCAGTGTTAGTTTACTGACTTTTTTTTTGCAGAAACATATGTTAGACGACCATGGTGATGAGAATCAAAGTCCTGAAGATGTGCTTAGGTGTCCCTTATGTGAAGCTATATTCTATCACTTAGATGCCTATGAGTTGCACCTTACTTTTCATTCAAATGATGATTTATATGTTGAAAAAAATGAATTGTAAGTTATTATTGTTAAGGATCTTTTTAACAGGGAAATAATGTAATTATCAATGACACAGAATGTGTGTGTATCTGACCCTTATAATACACTGATTGTTGATTTATTAGAATATACAATTTACGGTGTATATCAATCGAACTATTTTTGTCATTATTTTGAAACAATCCTCCTTCTCTAGAATCAGAAAATATTTGTGTGTGCAAGTTGATTATTAAGATCATTGCTTTGAAAATATTGGATGATTCAAAAGAGCTTTCAATAAGTAAATTTGAATTCAGCATAATTTCATTTCATTCATTGCAGATTTGAACAGTTAACAGAATTTTCTTTGGAAACTGTGCCACCTCTGATGGAAAAAGTGGAAAATGTGGAGAGCCAAGATGCTGAAAATGCTTTGAATGCTGTAGGGCTGGTAATTATAGACATACATATATACTTTACATAGTATTAAATTTTATTTTAATTTAATTATTACTATCTTATATATGTACATATGTATGTACTACTTAGTATAATTTATTTTATGGAATCAATATTTTACAGGAAAAATTTCTAGAAATGGCAATGGACACGCCAGATGATAATGATAGCGATAAGCCAAAAAAATCTAAAAAACATAAGAAGCATAAGAAATCAAAAAAATCCGCTATCACACTTGATGAGTTCTTGAATATGAACAAGGACGTGTTCGGGGAAGGTTTGGATTTTCAAGGAATTGAAGAAGTCCCAACTAAAGCTGTAGCAAAAGGACTAAAAAAGAAAAAACTAGATAAACCAAATCTCAAGGTTGTAGAAAGTAAAGATTTAGACAAACTTAAAAAACAAGGGATTATAGTTAAAATGAACTCAAAGAAATTACCAGCCCAGGCTGTAATGATTGGAAATGAATTACCTAACAAATCATCTCAAATCCAACAACAATCAACATGTCAAACAAAAATACCAACCACAGATGAGGTTATATCTAAATTATTAAATCAAGGTAACTCACAAATAAAAATTGTGAAAAAATCATCCCATGATAATAGTACTGACAAAGATATTAAATCAACTGGTGCAGACAATATAAACAAATCTCCAACACCAGAAAATATAGAAGTAGAAAGTGATCTAATACATAATGTACATAATTCATCAGAAACGGAAGCAAAACTAGACACTGAATCACAGGTGAAAAGTTCTTATCCACGAAATGATGTTAAAAAGAATATGCCAATCGCGTCTTCTTTTCAAAATTTAGATGAAAATCTACAACTTCTAAATCATACAAATTCAATATGTAGTAAAAAATTAGCATGTGATGATGATGAAACTGAAAAACCATTTAACAAAGACCTCATAGATAAGGACGAAAATAACGATAGTCCAGAAATAAATAGTGCTAAATTAAAACCCAAAATTGTAAGTAATAATATAACTTTAAAACCTTCAATTTCGGATAATTATCGTGAGAGTGAAGAAAATATTCATAATCAACCAAAATGTAAAGGTGATGTTACAGATACAGAGAATGTTACGTCATCGCCTTCAAAAAATAATTCATCAAAACACTCTTTGGATGCATTAAAGCACTTAAGCCACTTAATAACAGTTAAATCGGTTAGTGCAAAGGGCAGTCCTCCAGTCCAAACAATACCAAATCGACCTGAAACTCCATCAAAAGACGAGAAAATGGAAATCATTCATTCAGAAAATATTTCTGATCAAAATGATGAAGTAATGTCCGAAAGTTTGTCTAACATAGAAACGTCAAATGGAATACAGTCAAATGAAAAGAAAGGTTCGTTTAATACCATAGATGCTTTAAAATCACTCAATAAGAATATCATAGTAAAACCAGTAATGCTTTCACCTAAAAATATTACAGAAAAGACGAATGATAATGCTGATGCATTAAAAAACTGTAATACTATTAAAACTAGTGTCACCACAATACCAGAGCGGAAACCTATTGAGCAGAGTACTGTTAATATGGAACCCATTTTAAAACCTCCGAAACCAAGCCCTAAGTTAAAACAAATTGATGATAGTAATATTTCTGAAAAATTAGAAAAACAAAGTGCAAATGTAAATCTTCTCAAGCATTTAACAAATATCACAGCAAAACCAATTAATAAAAATAACCAAGTCAGCCCACCAGAAAGAACAAAAAATAACTTTCAGGTTCTTGATAAAAAAAGCATAGCTCAAACAGATGCCTCAAAGAAATTATTAAATGATGATATTGAAATATTCAATATTGATGATTCTGATAGTGATGATGGAGATGCATCAACTCTAATTGGACAAAAGGTAAACACTACAAAAGTAGTGTCTAATGATACATCCAATAAATCTTTCGAGAAATTAAAAACTGCACATAATGTAACAGTAAAATCACTTAAACAACAAATGACACAAATAAATAAAAATATTACAAAACAAATGCCACCTTCAAAAGAAACATTACATAATAACCCATGTTCGATGTCAGATTTTTCAGACGAAGATGATCAAGATATGCTAATGCCAGCAAATCTAAGTATTAATCAAAAATTAAGTTTACAGAGTTCGAATATTCAAGCTCTTAAAAATTTAGGGAAATTTATCACAGTAAAGTCACGAAATTCTTCCCTGAACGTCCCGTCTATAAGAGATTTAGATTTACAAGAAGAAATGGATGATGCTGATAGTGATAACGACTTGGTTCCTGATAAAGTAAAAATAACTGAACTTGATAATGATAACTTTAGTGATGATGAAGTGAATGACAGAAAGATTAATAATAAACATAACTTGAATGTGTCAGTTCAGTCACCAGAAGCTTCGAATAGTGATCATGAAAACGATTTTATGGATGATCCTGATGAAGAGTTGTCTGATTTTGAAACACATCTTAAAACAAATACTCTTAAAAAACCTTCTCTTGAAAATGCACAAGGCTTAAATCTGGAAATAAAAAAATTAAACAAAAATGTGACAATTAAGCCAATTAACAAATACAAGAAAGATGACCAGCCGACATCATCAAAAAGTTTAGCAGCAATTCCAATAAGCAATAGCAAAGAATTATCCATAAAACCATTCAGACAAACCAAAGCAAGTGTAGACATTGATACACTAAGTGGAAAAAATAATAATGTAACAAAAGCAATTCGGACAGTTAATCAGTCACTCAACCAAAATGTAGCTTCAAATAGTCAAGTAAGTACTGTGAATAAGGAAGTTACTGTAAAAACTTTTGAAACACAAACCGTAATACAAGAAATTACGACTACTGTTACTAAAACTATTAAAACTGTAAATCAAACTGTAAAACAACAAATTCAGAGTTCTTCTCAAGTTTCTCAACCCATGAAATATCAAAAAGTTCAGGGTATGAATCCTACCCAAAATGTAAAAAATATCCAAGGAGTTACCGTGCGACAAGCGGCACCAATAACTGGGACAAAAGTAAGGGGTCTCACTCCTACAAGATTAGCAATGGGTTCAACTGTAAGGCCTTCTAATCAATTAGTACCTGTAAGGCCATCTTTAAACCCGTTGAGGGCAAACACCCCGAGAATGCAGGCAGTGAAAAAAGTTGCAAATCCTTCCTCTAACCAGCTGGGTCAAAATTTAGTGAGGCCTGTGAAAATTGCTTCTAATGTGACAACGAAAAGGGCGTCGGAAGACACAACGGGACATTTCAGCTGCTTTAAAAAACCAAAAGAATCACTGATTCCTATATCTGACATTCCAAATTTTGACAATGAACAGATGAACTCCACTGTTCATTACACTTCTTCTCATAGTAAATCTAACTTCAGCAGCTCTACAAAAACAGTTAGGGGAAATACAGTTGTTGCTGCTGCACAAATGAAAACTGAAACGAGTAGTAGTGATCATATAAGTAAACTCAATAATTTGTCAGGATTAAAAATAGTTAAAACTAGTCAAAGTAAGCAAACAATGCAAGTTGAAGAGAAAAGCAAGCTTAGTGCATCACAACGTAACACTTTAGAGGCAATAGAAAAGTTACAAAAGCAGGGCCTTTTAATAAAGAAACCTCGTGTAGTAAACAACGATAGTGAACATTCAGACAGTGAACATGAGCAATACTTAACTGAAGAACCAGAAGATTAATAATTAAAATTTGTTGCCGATTAAATAAGTTTAACATTAAGGCTTTATAACAATGATGTAAATATGTATAGAATTATGGATACTATTGATTCTAATTATAAATGTTCAGTTATCTTTTATATATTTGCTTTAACTGTATCAAGAAGTTACGTTCAGCACAAATGATTATTGATTGGGGTAATGAAAATTAGAAGTCTTTTTCTTTACTTATACAATATATTTATTATTTCTATGTGACATGCCAACAAAATTGTAAATATAAATTAAGATTTAAAGTTTGGGGTAGGATTTGAGCAGTGTGCGATGATGATGTTTTGTTCCTAGGTGATTTATTTAAATTTAATACTTTACATATTAAAATATGTAAATGGCATCAGATGTTATTTTATTAAACGCACCCGTTCTGGGTGGTTTTTATTGCATGATGTAGGTACTTTGTTGATACAGAGTAACGGCTAATAGCTGTTAGCTACATAGTGTAACACACACTTCGGGTACAGAGGATCTCTCGGGTAATGTCGCGAAAACAGTATATTTCAAGTTTGATAAATGCTTAAATATCCTGGTAAACTTCTTGAGCAACGACCATAGACAAGGAAGCATGTGCGCAGGAGCAATTTAACATACGAAAACCTCTTAGCATGAACCAATATCAAATACGAATAGTTTGCGAGTGCGAAATGTCATTGTCAAATGTGTACTGATTTTTAGTTCTCGTTACGTCCGTTATGGCGCTGTTCTTTGAGTTTTCATACAAAATTTGACATTGACATTTCACACTCGCTTACTATTCGAATTCGATATTGTTTCGTGCTAGGGGTACTGTACTGTTGTTTTGCTCAAGAAGTTTGCCGCTACTAATACCAATGTTTCTTCTGCATTAATGTAGCTCATTTCTATGGAGCTGCTGCTTCTTTGTTTTTATCTTATGGTTTTGTATGAAACCGGCCCAGCCATTTAAAAGAGTTGTTGAATTACATACAGACAGAAGCAATAAGAAAATACAATGTAACATAGTGAACGGAAGGAGCATAATTGGTGCAACTTTTACCTTGAAGAGCTTTGTAGCTCGTTCGATCTGAGATAGATGAAGTTAGGAATTTTCGCAAAGGTTGATACAGAGTAACAGCTAATAATAGGATGGGTGGGATGGGAAAAATACGTTTAGGAATTCGGGTGATAGGAAACGAATATAGAATATCATTGCTCCTTGATTGTTTGAAGTCGCTTTTAAAAATAATAGGTCTTTACCTATGAAATTGCCGTCCGGCTATGTCAAGTCCATTTTTTCTTTTTTCATTTAGAAATCTAAATTCAAATTATGTTTATTTATAACACAATGATATCTTTTTCTAAAATTAATCATTTGCGTAATGGTTAGTATTCTGCTTTCAGTGCATTTGTGCGTTTCTCGACATCTTGGATACGTTTAAAATTCGAGTGATTATGGAGTATGAGTGCCGTCGTGCCAGCATAGCGGCATGCAACATTAATGACGTCCGTATACGTCGGACGTACGGATACTGAGCGCACCGCCCGTTATTGGTTCCCGCTGCCCGCTTCCGCTCTGGAAATGTCGACCCAAGAAATGAATCCCGTGGTCGAATGAAAACTTTAGTCGACAATGACGAAATAAAAGCGATTGTGGAAGCTGATGCTTCTCAATCTACAGCTGAATAAGTAGCAGCTTTCGATGTTAGCATCAAACCATTGTAGGTCTCGCCTCCAGAAGACTTATTCAAAAAGGGCATCTATAAAGCTACAATTCCGCGATGGGCTGCAGGTGATAACCGCAGACGACACTGCGTCTGACCGTGCATTATATGCATTGTGCAGCCGCGGCATGTCGCCGCGCTCGGAATCAATTTCATAGAGATTCATAGAAACTAGTAGTGTCGCCTGCAGTCTGCAGCTGCGGCCTGTAGTCTGCGGTTCAGTTCGGACTTGTACCGTAAGTGTCGCCGCACATGGGCCACACGCCACAGCCACAAACGCCGGCACGAGAAGCTAGAAGCGGCTACTAAAGTGGCTGAAGCGCGCGACAGTGGCCGACTAAGGTAAGGGAGAGAGGGGTGGGGAATCGCGCGGGTGACGTGTGGCGGCGTTTTGTATCGGCGCATTAAGTGGCCGGTGCGGGCCACAAGAAGCGAGCAACGACGATTTGTAGCGTGTGGCGGCCACCGGCGTACCGTGTGTGGCAAGTCCTTAAAAATGTATGAAAACTACAAGAAATATGCCGGTGGCGGTGTTTTGTGGTTGTGGTCGGTGGCCCGTGTGCGACGACACTAAGCTTCCACTACATAATTACTTTGATTAATAAAAAAAAAATGTGTGCACGGACCATGCATCTGAAATGAAACTTCTTTTCTTAAATAACCAAACATTACGCTGTGCATAAGGCATAGGGGAATGCAGCTGCGCAAGCATCACTTATATATATTGTCGCGTATGACGTGCGTGATGCTCGTAGCGTTTCAGCCTTCGCGGAGTTACCCTCCAACTTTCATGCTCGTCGGGAAAAGCATATAAAGTATATATAGTCGTGTAACACTCGTGACGCGTTTCCGTTTCATCTTTTTCATTTCCATAATTCCATTTACACCCCGGCCCCACTTCAATAAAAAAATAGAGATAAAAAACTTATTTCATGAAAAACTAATATTTATCAAGGTCCTTTGTGCTTCGGAAGGCACGTTATACTGTTGGTCTCGTCTGTATCTGCCTGCAGTTATTGTTACTCACCAATACGCACTGACTGGACCCGCCGTTTCCTTTCAACCCATTCGTAGGGAAGGCCAGTGACCTAATAGAGATAACTTTCGTAGGTTGGACGATGAAATTAAGTGTTTTAGTATCTCTAGGAGCTACATAGTGCAGGGTTAGCGCGTTCGGCCAAGAGAGCCGGCACACCCCAAGCACAAACAAGAGAGAAAGTATTGTACATGTCAAAGTTTCTATGGAAAAGCTAGTTACTTCTTACATCAGGTATTAGTTTCCATAGAACAACTAGCGAAAAAGTATTCGTATCGCCATGTCAGATTCCATTGGAAAAACTAGTTTGTTCTTACATCCGGTAGGGGAGCTGCTTGTTTTCTATGAAAACTTTGAAGATGGCGATATGAATACGGATCTGTCCAAAGGAGAATGCCCATTGGTAGGGCTGCCATCTCTAAAATATGGTAACCAGGATAAGACGCGTGATAACCCCGGATTTTGGAGCCCAGAACCCGGACAGACCAATAAAAAAATAGTTAAAAATGTCACAAATCAACTCTTTTTTTATTTTGATCTAGGCAAAAGAGTTAGCGGTCTACCTCATAATAAGTGGTCTCTGCTGTCCATGGACACTTGCAGCAATAAGGGCCACTCATGCGTTGCCTTAAATTTTTAAACCCGGACTACAAATAAAACCCCGCCCGGACGCTCCCCGGACGCCCCGTAAACTAGGACAAATCCGAGGAAACCCGGACGGATGGCAGCCCTACCCATTGGTAGTATCGTCCTTGGTCGGCCTTGTACGTTCACCTAATTTATATCAAAAATCAAGTTTTTAATGAATGAATATCGATTCATTCGTATATTTTTAGAAAATTGGCAATATCATTTCCAGTAGGGTCTCTCAAATTGTTTTTTTTTTGTCACTGACGTTTCTATCTAATTTCGCTCAGATTATTTGGTAAATATTTCATTGTTTATAATTATTTTCTTTCTATTTCCTTTAAGCTGATTTGATTTTTGTTTTGTTCCAACTATCTTATAGATTGATAAACTTGAAAGAGTGAAGGGAATAATTATTAATATAATGACGTTTGTTATATCATTATTTGTATTACCCGTCGAGCTAGAGAAAAAGTATATTTCATTATCTACACATAGGACCCTACAAAATAAGGTAAAAACCATCTTTGTACAAAATTTTTCGTAGCGATACTACAGTCCATACTACGATAGAATGCCCATCGTAGTATTTTGTGCTTGGGGTACGGATCATATAATCGATTGAGTGATCAAAGATTTATCCAGTTCGTCCCGATCCCGACTGCTTCTACAATAGCACCTGCCATATTGTTACAGTTATTGACATCTGCATCCATACTAAAATTATAAATGCGAAAGTGTGTCTATCTCTCTCCTCATCTCGCCACCTCGCGCTGACCGAAGAAACTGCTAAACCGATTTGGATGAATATCATTTAGTTAATGTAAAAATCATCCGTCTATAATAGAATTTATGTATGAACCTCAATAGATTTCTTTTACCTTTTATTTTAAAATATAAGGATTTAAGTTGCAAAAAAAGTGAATAATTTGAGTTAGAATAGCATTAAAAATACCTTAAAAGTAGGATTACCTACGTTCTTTAATTAAACTTATTTGCACCAAATGATTTGGAACATCCTGTTGACTGCAGACCGATAATTTGACCCCTCACTGGTGGCATTTTCTTATCAGTAACTATAAAAAAATGGGTGCGTGTACATAAGTAGGCGCGTGAGAAGTTTTCCTTCTTTGGCATCGTTTAAAATTAGTTTTTAATTGCATGCAAATAATTAATTACAATAAATTAATAAAAAGTCTGGAAAAGGACACAGTCAATAAAGTTTAGTTTTAATTTGAAAAAATAAATAAATAATCAAAATATTCAATTAAAATCGCTACTGAATATAATTTATTAGAACATATGTGATTTGCACTTGTATGAAACTCAAACACGTATTCCGAATATACAAACTAGAAACATGTGGATAAATATTATAAATATGAATACCTATAACTGTTACTTTATTACAAAAAATAAAGATGTGGTTTTTGGTTCTACTACACCAATGGTCAAGAGATGGCGCTGTAGTCTCCTGAATCGCGCTTTGGTTCCGTTGTTCCAGATTAATAAATACTTTTGATAGGCCTTCACAATGCAGTCGTTAGCACCCACTAAATGGAGATTCTATTTCTATTTTGTTGGTAGATTTTCTTAATGTGCGGTAAACACAAAAGTAACAGCATGAAGTTGGTCGCTAAAGCGACCGCTATCGTTAAAATCGCTAAAATTTTGTGTTACAGTGATGCGCGCGCATCTTAACATTTCACTCTCATCATTTTTTCATAACGCGCCTTAAGAAGTATAACTTCAAAAACACAACGAAAAATCTCCAAACACGAAGCGGTGATTGTATTCGACACTATACCGACAATATCTTGACCATGGTGGTTAGAGAGACGGAGAACGATCGCTATAGAAAATAGTGTCCCAGAAATATGGACAAAATAAGTGAGGCGCTGCGATCGCTAAGTTGTCTCAATAAAAGCGGGCTAATTTAAATTTGTACAATATTCAACTAACTTCATCTACTTGTACTCATAAACAGCTAACTTCCCAGATACTACTTACCGACGGCAGCGCGGCTGGTGGCTGAATAATGAACTATAAATTCCACAAAATTTCAGGACAGGCGGGCTAATGTTTTAGTACGTAGCGATCGTTCTCCTTATCTCTAACCTTCATGATGTTGACAGTCAGCCTTTTTAGACTGCGCAATGCAAGAGCGCGACGCGCAGACAGGGTACAGTGTTTAGTATAAGTCTATACAGGGCATCCCACGGGTTTGTCACACGAATATTGTACTGAAAGAAGACATCATTTTATTTTTAATAATAAATAGAACTGCACACGCTTTCTTTTCAGATTTTATTAAAAGCACGTTATTTATAAGCAGTGGGGTTTTTTGATTTTTTAAATTTACCACTTTACTTACTTATTGAGATTAAATAAATTATAGACAATCACTTTTCATTAAGTGATTTTAAAAATTAATCTGTCGTCTTCTTTTATCCTTTTCTACAAACCTTGTCCTGACAATAACGAGCACAATAAAAAAAAAGAATTATCCAATTTGGTTCAGTTGTTCGGAAGAGATGCGCATACAAAATACGTCTGCACATATAAAAATGAATCGTCGAAAAGTATACTTTTCGATGATTCATTTTTATATGTGCAGATGTGAAAGTTTTGTATGTTTATTTCTCAATCACATAAAAACGGCTGAACGAATTTGGATAAAATTTGGCACACATAGTTCTTATAGTTTATAGGTACCTATCTACCTAGATAATAGGTAGATAGCGGCATACGATACTTTTATCCCGAAAAAAATTATAATGTTCCTAAGGGATTCTCAAAAAACCAAAATTTGTAAATTAGCGAGCGGGCGCTAGTGAGTAAGTACTAGTACTATTGTTGGAGTCTACAAACAGCAACACAATATAAAGTATGGTTAGTTTTTAAAACATTTTCAAAATAAGCGCCCAATTGGGCTCCCTCTAATCCTAAGTCAAGAAAAAACAATCAGTCAAATGAAAATATATTATTATAGGGTACAACGAATACAAATGAGATAACAGGTTTCTAGGATCATGGATTTTATTCAAAATTATATTTACATAAGAGACAGTGTAACACCGTTAAACATACCATGTTAAATACGAAAATATAAACAGTATTTAATTGATTTATTATTTCATTCAGTTAAAATAGTTATAAGTAATCACATGCGGGTGTAGGCCAATGACAACCAATTTTATTGGTTTCAATCAGTTTTTGTCTCCGCTTTATTCAATCTCCACTTTCGGTCCTGTAATTGATAAATTTTATTTTACTTTGAGGTGTCTAGAATGGCATGACTAAACTCCCCACATATTCTATGTTAGTTTACGGTAAAAATAAATGAATCCTACTAACTCTAATGTTGAACATTATGCTTTTACCAAACGAATGTTAATGATAAGGTATAAAAGTCTTAGTCGAATCAATTTTACTGACCTATAGACATGAATTAATAACTATACATATATTCTTTATTTCACTTTAGCCAGTCGTTATTCTTTTAAGTAATCAACATTAAAAATGTATATTAAGAACACTCGCGAAATACGTATAATTTGTACCTAGTAGATTAGTTAGTATTATAGAATCTTGTAAACTTTCAAACAACCACTAGAATCACCTTGTATCCATTTATAATTAATAGAGAACAGGCTATGGCTTCATGTAAAAATGGTTATAAAATAAGTTCACGCAAGTGTGTCAGCATGACAAAGTTGCAATAATTTTAATGCCAATTCTTGTTAATGAAATCTAAGAACGAAAATCTCCAACTAACAGTACCTAGGTACAAAACGTAACTATTTAGTTAGAAAGAGTTTAGAGTTCGGAGACCAATTTTGAAATGACTGTCTCTGCATACGACCATTTCTGGTTTTGACCACTTCTGCTTAAGACTATACATCGTAATAAGACCTTTGCTATTCCAACCAATCTTGATTCCTACCCTGGTGGTAAGATGCAGAGTATCATTACAGGTGATCATGGGCTTATACTATGAACTCTGAACGCGACTCAACAGCAAATTAAACGTAATTAAATTATTGCGACGCTATTAGCAGTGTTGGGAGCCCTCTTGCTTCAGAGCTCATGGTAGGCCACAATCCTCAAAACTTGCATATTCGATGATGGACCGAAAATGGAAAAAATGTTTATTTAATTACATGAAATACATTTTTTTTAATTATTTAATAAATCAACCAGCTTTTACCTAGCTATGTGGTAACAAATTGACAAAACAGAGTTATATGATTGGGTTGCATGCATAGATTATATTTACAAGAGCATGATTTTCGATGTGTAACATCTTTCCTCTCGCTTTCGTGCAATTTGTGGGAAGTGGGACGGAAGTGTGTAAAAGAAAGTTTGGGAAGCGCGCGCTATTTGATTTGATTTTAGAGCATTATGTTCAAAAGGCTTATTCCTTTTGAAGTAGGTTTTATTTTTATTTTTTTACTAATATAAGTTGTAAATGTTACACATCAAACGCGACTTCTGTAAGGCTGGCTCGTTTTATTTTGATATTTTTACCCACTTTTAGTACCGGTACCGGTACCCAAGGTACGAACTTTGACAGCTCTGTCTTCGTAGCTACCGTCATCGTCAGTTTCTATGGAAAAAGCTAGTTTGTTCTTACGTCCAATACCTTGTTTCCATAGAAAATTAGACGCTAACGATACAAATTCAGAGGCCCAAGTAAAAGTTTTTGACAGCTCCGTAAAGTATCGTAATCATCAAATTTTGTATAAAAAAGCTAGTTTTTTCTAACATTCGATAGGGGCGCTGCTTAGTGTTCATACAAACCATGACAATACGATACGATAATGGAAAGTTCGCTCTGTTTATTTCAAAGAATCGCTTTGTATTGAATTCTCTATACATTTAACTCAAGCATACTGGTTTATCGTCCTTTCTACGCATGCAAGCTATAACATCTACCCGCCTAATAATACTAGGTAATAAACAACATATAGATATTAAAGCAGAGTTCATGCATAAGACACATTTAGGCAAATTGATATTGTCAATTTGGCACAATGGCACCACAAACACGAAGCAACCACCTACCAGCAACATACCTTAATTGCCTCACATTTTGACACACGAAACAAGAACTCACCGATCAAGATCCCAATTTTTTTATGTAACTGGCATATAAAATCCAGTCTTAACATTAAATTTATGTTTAATAGTACAGTCAATCTGTAGGTTGAGTGGTGAAAAAAAAAGCTAAAGGTAAGTCTTGTTTTTTCTAGTTGCCAAATGACGTCAGTAAGCCACCTTGGCGATGGGCATGTTCAACTCGTAGGCGTTTTTTGAATAACTCAAAAAAACCATTAAAAAAGTTTTGAAAAGTATTTTTCTTGTTTTGTATGGATTTTAGAAACTTTTTCTTCGACCATAATTGTAGAGGGCGTTGAGTATTACAATTTATGTCATTGTTGCAATCTCGTACAACAAAAAATGCGCATTGTAGGTGGCGCTAGTCTCAAAAAAAGTGTTTTTTCACTTTTTCACCCTGAAAATATCATTTTAATGGAAAACTTGTTCCGTACATAATTACCAACAACTTTTGTATTACTTACCGTTTTCAAGTTATATGGTATGAAAAATCCAATAGAGCGGTTTTTGGGCAGTTCAAGTACACATTTGCAGTGCACATTTCAATGTACGTTTTTACTATTTCTTTTTTTTTTATTTTTTTTATATCACGAAAAAAAATAAAAAGTAGTAAAACGTACATTGAAATGTGCATTGCAAATGTGTACTTGAACTGCCCAAAACCGCTCTATTGGATTTTTCATACCTGCGCAATTTGTAACTTGAAAACGGTAAGTTATACAAAAGTTGTTGGTAATTATGTACGGAACAAGTTTTCCATTAAAATGATATTTTCAGGGTGAAAAAGTGAATAAACACTTTTTTTGAGACTAGCGCATTTTTTGTTGTACTAGATTGCATCAATGACATATATTGTAGTACTCAACGCCCTCTACAATTATGGTCAAAAAAAAAGTTTCTAAAATGCATACAAAACAAGAAAAATGCGTTTCAAAAATTTTTTGAGTTTTTCAAAAAACGCCTACGAGTTGAACATGCCCATCGCCAAGGTGGCTTACAACAACAGAAAAAACAAGACTTACCCTTTAGGTTTTTTTTTCACTGAAAAGATTTTTTTTTCGACAGATTGACTGTACTATTAACCTATCTTTACGTCGCGCCGTGTCGGTAGGTAGGACGAAGAGTACATGACTTAACCAACTTAGTCCATTAATTAAATAAGAATAAATAATATTATACAAGTTGTCCATGCTAAATAGGCTACAGAAGAGATACAGATGCATAAAACGTAACATACATTTGAATTAATATAAATAAAATTAAACATATATAACTAGTGCCATTATAGAAACGAATCGAAAATGCCGACAAAAACATTCTTTTCCGCTCGCACATAACTTAAGATAGCATGTGGGAGAGGGGCGGAATGTCTTTCGTCGGCATTTGCGATCCGTTTTTTATTGGCGCGAGTTATAGGTAAGAGATTTTTAAAATCGGTTCATTCGTTGCGGTTTATAAGTAATTTTATGGTAGCCAATATTCACCAGCGGCCGAAACGTGTGACGTCACAGAGCTCGATCGTGGTTCACTCCGATTCGAACTTCAGTAGCGTATCTACGTATGCTCGCGCCCGAGCGCTAGAGCTCTCACGCGGCCAGACGAAAATTCGTTTAGTAATTTAGGTCATAACTTCGTCAATATTTGTCGTAGAACAAAAATTTAACCACTGTATTTTATTGAATCCAGAGCTCTATAAATCTGCAATCTTAACTAAAATTATTACGAATCCTCATTGTGGCAGATAGCAAGGTCCCACCCTTTTCTTAGTGAGTCAAGTTTGTATGACCATTTTGATTACGTTGATTACGACTAGAAAACATATTTTTGTTTGACTTAAAGATTTTTAGAAAAATACAATTTAATACATGGGCAACCTACTCTAATACACTAGAGTACAAATATGTACCTTATCTGCTGCATGCTGAAAATGTTTAAGTACAAGTAAAAGAGGGATTTGGGTGATTATCAGATAACTGAGACAACTTAGTAAAATAATGTTGGTAAGTATAAGTACAAACCTTAAATATAGTGTAGATATATATGTATCCATTTATTACTTTATCAGTATTATAAGTTTCCCCTCATGTAAATAATGCGATTTCTACTTATGCTGTGTAAAATTTTATATGAAATAAGGGTTCGTTCGTCTATCGTCAACTTAAAAAATAGTACGTTTAAACAAGACGTGCCACATTAAAGAAACTTTAACACACAAGCAACCACTGCACCACTCTAATACATAAGAAATTTCTGTACCACAACAAAAACATTATTTCTGCGGAGCAATGGTTCTTAAATAGTTCACTTAACCAGTTTTATTACGAATTCTAAATTATTATTGTACATTTAATCCAAGAAGTTGGTAGTCCGCCACTTTCAGGCGCTAATCGCTTGCGTTCGATCTCAACAGAATGTTGAAATTCTTCCTACTAACGAGATCGAGAAGCAAAGGAAAAGTGGTAGTCGGTTTCCGGTAGCGATGAAACATATATCATTTGCAAGCTTATTTTATGTTATAGGTGACATGAACAGATATTTATATACTTTTATTTATCTCTGATTAATTTTAAATCGTATTTGAAGATTTAACAATTTCGTAAGGATGCTGGCCACCCTGTCATAAGTAACGTCATATTTTTAGTCTGTAACTGTTTAATGTCTGTAAAACCATAACTGAAAAATGACAATCAGTCCCCAGTCATGCCCGATGTTCGTTAATTCGTAGTGAAATTATTATAAAAACTTTTTATTTATTAAATTTAATACCCTCATAATACCTTAATGATTTACTGCTCTAGTTACCTATTGAATAGAATATATTTGATGCTTTGTCAAAAAACATTACATTATATTAACTTGCCAATCAATACAATAACTAATTATAAATTAAAATAATTATTTAAAAAGCGGAGATAAAATAAATTTTAGTTTTTTGCCAAACGATTTACAATGAAGTGTGCTACATGTCATATAAATGTGGAGTCTGCCGGAGACAGACTACCACCCTTCAAACAAATTTGAACTGTGTCCTTTTCGCTTTAAAGTTATAGAGTACCGATTTCTTCCCTGTACCAACGTCAGGATATACGGTGCTGATTAAAAGTTTTTGCTTGTGCACAGACAAAATAATATTGAACCCCTGATCCTGATAGACTTTGTTGATAAAAGCTGACACGGTATTTCTTACTTTTGATGGCTTTCGAATTTAAAGGAGGATAGCCCAGACCATAGTGTTGATAGGGAGTGGTGATGCACGTACCAATACTGTGATCTCATTGGAGAGGCGGTAAGCGATCGCGCGCAATCTATACCGTAGCTTCAAGCCGCCTTGCGTTTTCTTACGCAGAGTCTGCAGTATTGTGTACATGTTGAAACTGTGCAACGTAAGAAACAAAGCTGCCAGGTAAGGCACCTGCCGAATTTACAAAAAAATAAATAAATAAAACCAATCACAAAAGATCAATTAAAAACATGTTTATTCGATGTTTCTTGATGCATTATATAAACAATAAATTATACAAAAAATAAATACACTAGATAAAATAAATTAGACATCATTGTAGAGAAATAAATAATAAGGCATTTACAATAAATTTTCACACGAATATTAGGTAGTAAAAATATTAAATTGATTTAATTTCTAAAAACAATTAAGTTAGAACATTCGAGACTTTAATATTCTGCTTTAAATCCATCACGCTGATTCTTTGTAAGACATGAGATAATAAAATATTGAGAATAATGGATAGTTCAGTTAGTGGAGCATATTGAGATTCGCAACTGACATGAATAGGTAAAAGTTGGGTATGATGTTCATAACACAATGACACAATTCAGCCATAGTAGCTGGATACTACTTGTATCAGCTATTAAAGGGATACAAGAACAATTCTTTTGAATTTACGAAAAAAAATGGAAACTATTGGTATGTACTATGTATAACAGTGATATGAAAATGTTTCAATTCTTCTCTAATATTTTTTGATGCCTGCCAGTATGAAGCCATTTTAGCTTTACTTGTTTATTACTGCTCAATAGAAAATTATCTTTGCAGTTTAAAACGAAATATATTAAGATTAGAAAATCCAGTTAAAAAACACATTCTAGAAATACGTTAAACGAATTCTACATCATACAGAAAAGAACAGATTTGCCCATAAGTGACGATGATTCCCTTTCGCAAAGGCAAATACAACCAAAGCAACATTTTCATAACGCCACAGTTGAAACTGTAGAATAATATCGGATTAACTTAGATATAACTCCTACATGATAAGAATTTATATTAAGTACACAATAATATTTTATTCCAATGTGACAAAATCAAGAAAACATAAAAATACCGCGTTACTTCTAAGTGACTAGTCTGTTATGTATAATAAATTGAAGCAACTGTCTTCAACCGACATGAGAACAATTAAATTCGTAAAAAACTGCAAATAAAATAATAAAATGCAATATTTATTCACAACACATCAACAGTAATCAAGTACCGAAGTAAATACAGATTACAAACTACATACAAAAAATAACTAAAATTTTGCCCGTTTTCTAATTACTAGTAATAATTGCATATTCACATTTAATCCCGTTATCCACTTTAAAAATAATAATCAATCAGTTATTTTTATAAAAATATTTGCATTGCAATGTCGAAAATTGTGCGTTTAACTCTATTGAAAATTATATTATTTATATGTATAACACAAAACAGAATTACATTAATAAGTGCCCACGGCGATCTTTTGCATAGCTGCATGTAGTCGACTGTAAGGTAGCTCCCGCTGTACGCTTAGATCTTTTAATCTGCGCTACGGATTTTAGTGCATTTTTAAGCAATAGATAAGACTGATTCAAGGGAAAGGTTATTGTGTAAAAACATGCTCGTAAACAAAAACTATAGTCTTCACCGATGGAAAGCGAAAGGGTCACTCACTAGTATTATGCGATATAAACTTCCAATCTAAGTATAAAATTCTCGTATAGTCGGAGAGCTGGCTACGAAAATGTGAACTAATAAGGTGCAGTAACGAATTATATATATATCCTCTCCTTGGTAGCCTATAAGTACAGAGCGAGGCCCGTCAGAACTCTCTCCCGGGGCGGAAGGCGTGGTCATAGTCGTAATAAGAAAAAAATTATTAGGTGCAGTTCTGAAATTCGGTAGAGTTATAATTTTTAACTGTAGGAATCTAGGAAAATTGTTGTCAGAAGTCTAGGTTGGGGCTTAAAGACTGTCAGAAGTCGACAAAGTTGTAAAGAAATTGTTTAAATTTAAACCACAAGGTGCAGTTCTGACAAATGCATTTTCATATTATTTGTAGCTTATCGGACCTGTATATAAATTGTCAGAAGTCTCGGCAACACAATTTTTATATTTATTTTTTGTCATTGCATATTTATTAAAATAACAGTGTAAATAATAGAAACAATAAATAGCCGAAACTGCACCCTGTTATTTAATTTTGAATCTAAATTCGAAACGTTCCTTTTCAACGCGATAGCCGCTTCTGCAACTTCTGGCCATATCATAATTTTTCTGTACTTAGCCATTATTTATCCTTCTGACAATATATGTACAGGTTTGGTAAGCTATAAATAATATAAAAATGCAAATGTCAGAACTGCACCTTGTTATTTTAACTCAAAACTAGATTCGAAACTAGATTCGAAACGTTGCCCCTTCGGCAACTTCTGACTATATCATCAATTTTTATGTAGGTACTTAGCCATTATTAAGACTTCTGACAATTTATATACAGGTCCGATAAGCTACAAATAATATGAAAATGCATTTGTCAGAACTGCACCTTGTGGTTTAAATTTAAACAATTTCTTTACAACTTTGTCGACTTCTGACAGTCTTTAAGCCCCAACCTAGACTTCTGACAACAATTTTCCTAGATTCCTACAGTTAAAAATTATAAGTCTACCAAATTTCAGAACTGCACCTTATCATTTTTTTCTCATTGAAAATTTACGACTTTGACCGCCCACCCACGCCTTCCGCCCGGGAGAGAGTTCTGACGGGCCTCGCTCTGTACTTATAGGCTACCAAGGAGAGGATATATATATAATTCGTTACTGCACCTTATCAGTTCACATTTTCGTAGCCAGCTCTTAGACCAGTATCACGGTGTGCGTAATTGAACTACTCCGAAACGGCTCGACCGATTTTCGTAAAATTTTATATCCATATTCAGTAGGTCTGAGAATCGCACAACCTTTATTTTTTATCCCCCTAAATGTTAAGGGGGGTGGACTACCCCCCTTAACATTAAATTTTTTTAGGGCAAAATATTTTACATACATACAATCCTAAATTTTCACCCTTCTACCACCAACCCCTATTTTTTTATGGCGGTACGAAGTTCGCTGGGGCAGCTAGTATTATCTGAATATATTCGAACTGTTCTTCCTTACGACCTTCAAATTAAGAGTCATGGGTAAAGCAGCTAGAAGTAGGACTGCGACTTTAGCGATGCATCATCGCGTCTGTATTCTTGTGACTAACATGTTCAAAATCGTAATCATGTGGGTGAAGGCATACGACCTGTAATAGCGTAGCGGTATTTTTATTTAATATATCAAGTTTGCATACAAAAAGTCGACGTGGGCGACCTGACCTACCCGTGTTATTATTAGTGATTGATCTGTTGACTTCTTTCTGGTATGATCATTATTTTAATATCAGGTAGGTACGTACGACACAAAAAACTAAGTATCCTAAACCATTGGATCTTGTCTTTAAGACATTTATTTATCTATACTACTATAATTATACGACGGATAACAAAACGATACCGCAATTTATAACAGTATAGCCACATCTAGTATTTTGCAAAGTTTTTTTAATTCAAGGTGGCTCATTAACCATAGATGGAGTCTTGAAAACGCGTATTGGAATGATACACTTCAGAAGCCTCAATTAGCGTTAAGAATACATGGAGTACTTATATTATTATTAAATTATGCTGAAAAATGCACTCACCTATAAGAATACGAATATATAGATTTGTAACTAATAAGGGATCGTTCGCACAAGCGCTCCTCAGCTTTTCTTTCGTATAGGTCCTATGAATTCGCGCTGTTTTCGGGATTTATATTTTATTAATCAAAATAAAAATTAAGAACCGTATACAGGCACTAATATCAGGAAATTAAAAGTGCAATTTCAAATGTCATTTGAGTGATAAAAACAAAATAATGCGTACCTATTCAAATCCAACCTTTGTGAATAACTTATATTTCTGCTAACAGCAGCACTCAGAGAGAGAGAGAGAGAGAGAGAGAGAAAGAAATAATTAAATATTAACCTATATTAACGTGATGCTGTCGATCTCTGAGATTAAAATAGAACATTTGAATTAATGAAACATTTACTTTATTGAATTAAAGTCTCTCAGTACGGCTATTAGTGTATTATCATAAATGAATAAATCATATACAATTTATTCCGAATTAACAAGCAATATTAATTACCTTAAACATCATCACACAAATCATGCATTAACATGCCATAGTAATCTGTATAAAAAATCTGACTTAGTCATTAAAAACAATGAAATTTGTGTAAGGTGATGATAGAAATCTAACATTTGTCTGAAGTTTCTCTTCAATGTTATTGTCAAAATTACTGGATGAATTGTAGGGACTAAACTTAGATTAAAACAAAAAGGGAAGGTACGGTACGCTCATACTAGCATCAAATAAAATATGATCCGACTCAACTACATAAGCATCTCTCACACACGCACACGTCTGTAAATAAACATTCAATCGAGTGAGCGAGACATAGCTGTACGCTTCAACGCAGCGCGAGCGAAACGGCGAGTCCGCTTCCGAATCTGCACGGCTGTATTGTTGTCCTTTTCTTGATAACAAAATGGCGATTACGTAAATAACATTCACGACAAGTCGTGATTTTTGAGAATAAAATGATTTTTCAGTTTTACCAATGAAAAGTGTTGCCGAGGCATTCCTTATTTGATTTTGAACTATTTGTGTTCTTAATAAAAGCATGGCAGGCATTGTTTTATCTTTATAACAAAGAATATACGCAATTTTCTTACTCGTATATTGAGTACACATGCAGCGGGTTTCAATGTATAACAGTTACTAAAGCGTATTGTGATTATGCACCACAATTTAAGCGGATCACTTTTGAGCCGCTAGTGCCGCATCTTCCCTTTTTGTATTAATCTAAGGGACTAAAACAATGTTTTGTATAATAACACTGAACTTACAATATGTTTATATTTCTTAAGAAAATACTTGAGACAAATCGACCAAAATGTCCACAGGTATTATTCGAACTACTTAACGCTTTTTTGCCAATTACAAAGTAGTACTTATAACACGTTTTGAATAAACTGTTGTGATGATTGATTATTATAATCTGGAGCATATTTTATGATTTTTTTTACACCTATTTGATTTGTGATTGTATTATGAACTGAACAGTGGTCTTAGACACTTAGCAGACTTTACCTAACACACTTGAACATAATCATATAAACAATAGCGATCATGATATGGCTTCAAATCTTTATGCATACTACGTTTTAAGAAAGGACATGATCCTATCATGCAGGAAACATCATAGAAGAAAAATATTAAGGATTTCTGAAATTGCGTGTATAATACAAAGATGAGTTACATTTAAAAAGTATGGTTGGTAAAAAGTTAGGCAGTGTCTATAAGTTAGAACCACAGTTTTGTAAATAGAAGTTGAAATTGACACATTGTTTTGGAAAAGTAATCTAAAGGGAAACATTTAAATGATCCTCGAAAAAAATGTAATGATCACCTAAAAACAGAATCGGTAACCTAATGACTACTTTTTGATGATCATTTAAATATGTGCCTAATCTTAATACCTACCTACATATAATTTTGGCAGTGAGCTGGCAAAGACTATTTGTCCGTTAAAAATAAATTAAGTGCATAAAAAACAGTCTATGAATATGTCGTAGGATGATTTGATAAATAGAATTTACACGAAAATCCTAGCGATTTTGTGAAAACGCGGATAATTAGACGATGGCGATGACATTGCTCAATCTTACTGTTAATGTTTTTTGTCATTTTAATAGGAAAATTCGATCTATCTTATCATCCCACGACATAATATATAAAACAACCAGTGTGAACAGGACGTTAGCTAAATTTCATTGAAAATGTCAATAGGACTGTGCCATATCACCAAATGTTAAAAAAAACAGTAATGCTGGCATTTCGCATGGCTATTCGTGATTGCAATTTGTCATTTTGATTTGACAGCAGGTTGTCCTGTATATACTTGTCAAGGTTACAAATAGCAAATACGAATAGCCAAGTAAAGTGCTGACAGAACAGTTCGTAAGATCTTGGCTCTCTAAAAAGATTATCTCCAGAGCTAATTTATTAAATGGCACATTAGCACACAGAAACAGTATATAGATGGTGATGTGGCCGGGTTTACAGCCGCACTCAGAGAAGTCAATAAACGTTTGACTAAAGTTGATGCTGTCACTCTTTTTGCGATAACAATAGAGTGAGACAGCACGTGACTTAAGCTGGGCGCATATGTACGGTTTCCACTGGAATTCCGATTCGGAGACCAGAATGTACGTCCTTACATACAAAATGTTCAACGAGGCGCACACTTCTTATTTTTTCAGAATGGAAAAAAATCGTAACGTTAAGGTTGGACAATACCTAATAAAAAAAAATGAAACGTCTGCACTATGCTCACGGAATTCCCGATCTGCAAAACGAATCAGGAAACCGTACATACGGGCCCAGCCCAAATGAAGCATTAAATTAATTTGACGTTTCTGAGTATGACTGTTAAAATTAAATAAGAAAATATAGTGCCCGTTCACACTAATAAATTGTTGAAGGTTTCAAGTACACAGTGCGAACCAACAAGCGCAAGTGTGAATAGACACTTATACTTCTATTAAAAAGACTACTTATTTTTAGGATACAAATTATGACGACTATACAAGATATACACATAGATATATTATACTAATCACATCTACCCTACTACAAAACTAATTCACTCACTAGCTTGGTCCACATGAAACACTATCGCTACACAATGCATATCAATCAGAAGTGCTGCTCTAGCAAGATTACTAACAAATATCAACAAGTCACGTAATAATATACTAATAATTTAGCTTTTTTATTAAGGTCAGGTACAGATAATGTTAAAAAAAAACAATATTCTCGATTCAGTTGTCATTTTAAAACTCACTTTGCATAATGATTACTATGGGATATACTAGGGGCATTGTCTAGCACATTAAGTCCAATTTGTAATAAGTAAGATCTTTTATTAGTAGCTGATAACATATACCCATAATTAGGAGTGTTTCTCTATGATAAAGATATATGTATATGATATAACTTGTGCATATTCTCTATAAAAAATGGTCAAGTGCGAATCGGACTCGCGTACGAAGGTAAGTACGTACAAACGTACAAGGTTTATCAAAAGCGGCGATTGTAAAGAGAAACAAAATCAAAAGGCTTTAAAAATGCATGTTTTGTGAAAATTATAATTATTAATCTACTACAACCCGCAGACAGAAACCTTAGGCTGTGTTCAGTTGTCATTATTCCAAGTTAACTCGGATTCTTATACTTTTGTAATTTATTCGGCTTTAGGCTTAGAATTTACATTTTGTAATGTATTGTAGAAATGTCAAATCAGTACCTTATTTTACGAATCCGGTATTCTGTGGAGTCCTGACTTTTTTACATAATCGGGGTTCTAAAATTTCTTAATTAATACTAACCATAACCCTAGTTGTCACCGTAAAAATATCAGCAACATCGCTATAGATAGATAGATAAAAAACAAAAGAATAAAAAAACGAACGAAACGAAAAAAGAAAACAATAACATAATGTGGGCAAAGGTGGCCTTATCGCTTTAAACGATCTCTTCCAGACAACCTTTGCGGTAAAGGATATAGCTATATAAAAGGATCGCTAAAGTAATTTGTATAATTACTATGTACCTTGTTTTTTTACGAGTCCCTGATATTTCAGGACTGTTGCAAGCTCAATCATCACGGCGAAGTTACTAAGAGTTAACGACGTCAATTACTATACTGTTAGTGACCATGTAAGTTTAAAACAATACAGGGTTCATTTTAAAACACCAACAACCTCTTAGGGGGTGATTCTACCCATCAACAGGAACAACTTTTATTACCAGACCAACTCTGAAATCGCGAAAAAAAAAAACAGCTGTTTCATACATTTCGGTGGATTAGCTGATGCACTTTTGTATGAAACGGCAGATTTTTTTTCCGCGATTTCAGCGTTGGTCACTTAATAAAGTTATTCCTGTTGATGGGTAGAATCACCCCCTAAGAGGTTGTCGGTGTTTTAAAATTAACCCTGTATATCAGCGGCAGCAATTTTACTAGAGCAACACTGCATCTACTAGAATACAACACTTGGGGGGTTCCTTTCCAGCTCAGTCTCCGTCGGTTACCTGCTCGTTGAGCTTCTGCGGGATCACGATGAGCGTGGTGGCAGTGTTGCCGATGCCGAGAGTCAGGAATGATATACATAACGCGTGCACCTGCCGTACGTTCGTCTCGTCATACGGAAACATGCTTTACACTCATAGAGGTATAAGAATAGATTGGGGAAGGCGGCTCTAAAAGTGTCCGTCTAGTAAAAAGAGAAAGAAGATGAGAGACCGCTGGCTATCTCTCTCGCTTATGACGCATGGCATCCAATGGCATCACATCGAGATAGTAAGATGCTTACGGTTGCCAATACGCATGCGCAATTAGAGAGAGAAAGCTAGCGGTCGCTCATCTTTTTTCTCTTTCTATTAGAGGGACACTTCACTTGTAGTAGAGTCCATATCTCCTCTACTCTTTTCTTATACCTCTATGTTTACACTAGCTCTGGAGCGTGAGCACCTCGATTTACATTTTAATGTAAATTCATCCCATACAGCAATCCGAACGAAAGCCGACCTAAAGGTCGGTCGTCGGTCAAAGCGGCACTGACAATGTCATTTGCATAGAAAATCTGTCTAACGCTCTGTCGCGACGTCGCTGATGATCGCTTGGAAAACCCACTTTATGGCACCTTTGCAGTAAATAAGCTTAATCTCAATTCAATTAAAATTAGATGTAATCAATGAAAAAATGTCAAAATTTCAGTGTCAATTTGACATCACTGTATGGGATGAATCTAGTTTTTGTTAAATTGAGATTTGGCAAAATTCCTGCAAGTGAGCCTTTTATTCGCACCTGTCAAACTCTACAGTGATTTGACAGTTGAGCGCGATAAAAACAAGCTATCTATCATATCGCCGTACTCCTTGCTAGAGAGCCAAGTTACGCAGTGTGATTCACGAACCCTTAGGGGTTCGCCATTTGACGGTTTAATTCGTCCAAAATTCTTATGAAACTGCTCTATATCATAAATATTATGGATAAGACATAGAAAATATTTGCTTTTAAATATTTGTTAATAATCTCTTATATTTTTTTATTACTAAAACGAATAATTTCGCACTGAAAAAAATACTTCATTTACTCTCCATTGCCTATTCATTCATTTCAATTCTTGATAGTAAATTTATTATCTTATAATTCAAGTTATATTACAAAACGCATAAATAGGACATAATTTATTTATATTGAATACTCTACATACCTGCCAAGTAGCCTCCGGGTGATAGCTAAGATTGTACAGTGTATATGCCACGTATAGTTGGAACACATATCCACCGAAGAGAAATGGTAGTAAGTATGAAAGTCCTCGCCACATCCAAGAATGAAATCCCTCTATTGTGATGTCCATGTTATGCCGTGCCCCCAAGGCTTTGAGCCGATATAGCACTCCGCTTTGGTATCTAAACTGCATGTATTGCACGACACCTAAAAATATGATCATCGAATAAAATAAATTTTAAGAATATTCAGAGTAACCATTAACTATAATAGATTGAGGAACATGAGAACTACAATAGTAGGGGAGCCCAAGCGGGGATTTTGGGATTTACTTGAGCGCGTCAGATTAACATAAGGGGAGCAAGCTTGCATCTTGTAAAGTACTCCCACCATACCGCTAAGGTATGAGTAGTGTCGAAAGTCTAGGACAGTTCATTAGCTTAGTTTAAAAAAAAATCGTTGGAGAAACTCGAGCGCGTCAGATTAATGTAAGGTAAGTTAAATATATGCAGAAAAGTGTGCATAGCAATAATCTAACAATTTGAGAGTGAGATAAGGAAATGGAATAGTCACAAAGTTGCAAAAAAAAGTCACCTGGACATTCTCGAGCGCGGTTAGTTTTATTCTTTATTTTGAAGGAAATTAGTCATGAATTACGAAAATAACTTAATCTGCCGATTTGCACAAGCCAAAGTAGCTATAATCATTATTATAGTGTGGTGCATGCAGTCGCTATTTATAAATGTTAAGACTATGAGAATATCGTAATTAAACCTGATATTCTAGGGGATATTCGAGCTTCAGGTATGTTTTTTTTTCAAAACTCCAATTATATCATGAAATAAATATAAATATATATATATAAGTTATCTATAAATATATAATATAAGTAATAAGTATCATAACCATTGTTTGTTGCAGATACTCAAAACGTTGATGAAAACGACCAAGTCGAACCGGAGTTAGGAGTCGGAGTTATAGGGACAATGTTTTTTATTAAATACAGGATTTAATTTTACCTGTATAGGTACATACATATTTTATATTGTATTTTTCATTCAATAATTTAAAAAAGTCAGATTATTGGTCAGTACGTTAAAGGCATCAAGATGAAGCGACTGTAATAATCTGACGCGCTCGAGTATTTCAAGGTGACAATTTTCTTTGGAATTTCAAAAAGCGGCCATTACTTATGGTCGCGATCAAATCGTCAGTCGTTTGAATGGGAGCTACTGAAGGGTTCGCGTAATATCATCAGCATCAACGGCAGACGCGCTCGAATCCCTTTTTTTTTAATCCTATTTTCTACCCCACTATGCAAACCGGCAAATTAATACTTTCCGTTATCAGAGACACGTGGGGTTGTCGCCCCACTTGATTGCAATTATGATTGTATGTGTATGTGACTGTTTTTTTTACATTTTTGAAAACCTGTACACGCACCGGGTGATGGATACCAGTGAAAATATATTATACATTAAATAAACTTTTTTCATTTAAGCATCTAACCTTCATAATCCAATAGGTCCCAAAACAACGCTCGAGTAAATCCGTATTTAGCATCGTGGCCTGCCCTACTACAATTTAAGGCATGTTTCCTAGATATACTATTAACATGGAGGAGAAAACAATTTCAATACAATTAAATAAATCAAACTATCTTTATCATCCTATTAATGTTCGCACAGCTGGGGCACAGGCCTTCCCTATGGATGGAATAGGGGAGATTGGGCCATGCATGACCCACCTCACAGGCCCTATGCAGAGGCCCCAGCACGAACTTTGACAGGTCGTAACGCATCGTCAAAATTTCTAAGCAGCGCCCCAACTGGACGTAAGGAAAAACTTGCTCCTTCTGTACAAAATTTGACGATGAGGATACGATTACGTTCTGTCAATGTTCGTACTTGAGCCTCAGAAGGCACCTATGTGGTTAAAAAAAATTGCTTTCAATGATTACTAACTGATATAAGCGATGAACCACATGAACGTATGTTTGAACAGCTCCCACGGCTGGTTCTGTGGCCAGATGAGTAATATTCCCGAGACGACCGTAGATATGAAGTGGTGCAGCCGCCACCAGCCCTTGATCCGGGACCCGTTCACCTTCAAGATACTCTCGCGAATCGTTAGAGTGCAGTAGTACCACACCAGAAGAAATATCAGGATCAGTTGTAACGGTCTGCGGTAAAAATAAATAATAATTTACTATAAATCGCTACTATAAGCGATAGCGATTTCCAGTTTTTACAACCATGAAAGAGATATAGAATGGTTCTTGGCAATGATATTACATACCCTAGATACACCACGTGCGCTCAAAATGTGTCCCAATCAAGAAGTGCTTGAACAACACTCAAGCACTTCTGGGTTCACAGCCACGCGCGGACCGTTGAAAGGAAAGATAGTTATAATGATGATATAATAATCTTTTATTTTGCCAAAAAAAGTACAATATTTTAAGTTACTAAATACGTAGTTTTTAACTCATAAAGTAGGTAATAGTAAAACATTCTTAGGCATTAGGTTTTTCTAAAATAGTCACAATGAGCCCTAGCTAGATTATTAAATAAACTGTGTTAAGGGCAACAGTCCCGCACCCTCGTCGTATCCTATAGAAGATTGATAATAAAGGTACAATCTTCCTACATTATATGCACATAATCTAAGCCTAAAATAATATTAGCCGCATTTCTAAATGTGTTTTAATTGTAAACAAAAATAGTGGTTGAGATGCCGCAGAGCTCCAAAAAAATACGAAAACAATACTTATAGTACGTTCAGGGTCGTTTTTTCGGCAGGTATTTAATCAATGGTTGTTAATTTTGTTCTAATACTTACTATAAACTGATTTAATAGAAAATATTTGTGATATTCAAATGCATGGTCGGTAATATAGCCGTCCTTTCCTGTTTTCCTCCTCGTCGTTTTTGTTTTTTCCTCGCGGTCCGTAACTGATACTATCATATTTTGCTAACAGCGCATTCAGAATTTCGCGTAGAGACAAAGAAATAAGGTCTATATTCTTCCGCATATAGCAATAAGTCGTAAAATTTTACGACCTTGCATTTCGAACTGTCATATCTCTTTGACGCAGGTGTTATAATGAAAACCTTACGCCTTGGCCACGTAGACGGGCTAGGCTAAGCGCGGGTGCGGGTGACTTCTGAGGGTGCGGGTGGCATGCCACGTACCTGAATGTACAACGGCTACAGCGGCTGACTAAAGTGGACGTATTGAGGATGGTTCTAACTAAAGTGATGTGTAGTTGCCTTGACAGCAGTTCGTATTTTATGGCGTATATTATACTATACTTGTACCTACTTATTAGTTATTACGTATTATCTAATAAAACTTATTGTCCTGATCTTATTTATTTAATTACATAGTCTTTTAATTACATTTTTATACTTGTGTTATGGATGCTTAGACATCCATATAGATGGTCGGTTTAATATTTGTGTAATAAATGCTTCGGTGTCCATAATAAAATGCTGCCTTAATGCTTAATGTTTAAATAATGCCTTATATTGTATTTGATCTACGCGATCTTCTCCGTGGATCGTCCAATGTACCTTTCGGATAGGTTTCGGGCACGATTTTGTTCGTGTTAGTGTATTTAGGATATTTAATATCGTTGGGTTCTTGGTCATGAAAATCAACACGCGTTTCGTTTAAAGTGTGTCACTTACCTGAAGTCTATGTAAAGGTTTGCCACGGCCAACACAAATGCTATTGCGCTGAGTATCAATTTGAACTTCTCGTATTCGTCTTTGTATTTAAATCTGAAAAGATATTTCTATGTTTAAATGAATAGTATTTACTAATTGAAGTGATCTATCACATGATGCCGGTACAAAGGCTATTGTATTAAGGGAGATAAAGATGCTCATTTTATGGATGGCCGTTTGGAAGACATGACATTACGACATGTGCCCACGACCGTAATAGGTAGCTAGGTACTCTGACAATCTTAGGGCTGATTCACACCGGAATGGTGAATAAACCCTTATAGTTTTATCTGACAACCCTGCGGCGTGTTCTTTTTCGTCGATAATGTGTAAACTTGACTATGGTGATCAATTAATACCAGCCAGGGTGAAAAGGCGCTTCAACTTTTATTAATTGAAAAGTAATGCTTTTAGTAAATTATTCAAAACTGCCAGGTACCTGTGATGGCGATGGGACAAATGAAACAGACCTAGGAAATACTTAAATAACATTTTCGTCGATGTTCGGTGCGAAGATTAAATTATTTATGAAGGTTCTATAAAAAAATATTCAAAACCATCAGAAACAATGTTAATTATTTACTTTATTACCACAAAAAAGTTAAGTCGTTTATACGTTCAACATGACTAAGAAAAAATTACATACAAATATGGTTTAATTATGGTTTAACACTATGTCTTGCTTTTTGTAGCAAGACCATTAGTGTTTCGTGTTCGTATTTAGCATTATCTTACTATAATAGTGTACAGTTATGAACAGAACAAAGTACTTGTCATACTTAATCACTAAACTTTTGTGATTAAAGTCCGATGTAATAATATCAGCACGTGTTTATCGCATTATTTGACACGAGTTCAAAGTATCTCGCTTCGGGAAATTTGAACTTTGTCGAGAGTCCCTATTGCAAGCGCGACTCACATTTATTGATAGATTTAATTGAAACATAAATCAAAATAATGCATCAATTGCTACTTAGTTACTCCTTACTCCTATCCATATAGTAAAAAAAATATGTAACAGGTACAAATAAAAAAAATCATTACAAAATAGGGGGCTATATATCTAACTATCCTATCTAACTTTCCGTGATCCCCAGAAAAGTGACATACTAAACATAATAATGTTTTGTCCAAATATGAAACGAAATGGTTCGCGAAAGGAATAAAGGTCGTCAATTAGGCCCTGTATTATCTATCAATGTGGTTTAAAATGCAATCACTTCGTGACACACATAGGGGAAATCAGTGGATCTATGTTTTGCATTATTTTTGACTTTAAATGCATGGACGCTAACCAGCACGAGACGCGAAGTTCTCAATGCACATAACTTACAGATAAAAATGCTGTCTTCTTTGATTATTTACACGCCTAGACAGATTAATCTTAATAAAATCCGGGTTCGAATCCCGGTAGGGGCATATGTTTGTGTGATGAATACGAGCATTTGTACTCCGTTCATGGATGTTTAATATGTATTTCTTTATAAATCTATATATATAAAAATGTTATGTTGGTTTGTGTACGCTTCAAAAACTCAAAAAGTTCTGCACCGATCGAGTTGAAATTTTAACATGATATAAAATCCGCATCAAGGATTGTTTTTATCTATTTTTTGCATCAGTCACATATCTGCGACCGCGAGAAAACAGCTTTTTTAACGATCAGCTGTGTACTAGTGACCGCGCCATCTGCCAGAAGCGCGGAAAACACTCGCTGACAACCGCAATAGTAATGACGCAGTCACATGAGAAACAATTTCGTTCCCAATTACATTGTTTATTTACAAAAAAAATTGCATCTGATTCTGATTTTATACAATCGGAATTAAATATTCACTTAAATCAAGAATTTTTGGTATTCAATAGTGACGTAAAAGATAATAATATTTTAATAATAAAATTACAGGCAAAATAAAAGGACTTATTATAATTCAAGTGGATTTCTAAGTGAGTGGTTATAATTATCTTTTTTATTACATCTAACACCTGGACCTAATTATAGTATTTATTTTGGATTAACCTCACTTTTTGTTTATAGGTATCAATTAATGTATATAAATATAATTACATTAAAACTAGCAATTATTAATTAATACGAATGTCAATACAGTAAACATCAATCCGTTTAGATGCGGATTGCTTTTCACATGGACAACTGTATGTTGCGTGTTCCCGAGTCGGCAAACCAGACAGTCTTTATATCTACAGTGGAAAAACTAAAAATATTGTATATCCACAAGTATTGCAAAATTAAACTAATATGAAATGTATCTTTGTTTTGTTTCTCATTTCTCAACCATTCAATCACAATGTGCCACTGCGAAGCGTGGCAGGGTACAGCTAGTATACTTATATATGCATGAATATATATATGTATTCCATCCGTTACCCTTGTTTCCCATAACACAAGGCTACAGTGCTTACTTTGGGACTAGGCTAATAGAAGTGTGTTGGAAATTTTTATTTATTTTTAATCACGCAAAGAAGACGGCTCATGTTTCGCGCAATATGTGCGTGTGTAGCGACGAGCACCTCTACCATATGTAGTAGAATATTTTTGTGCCGCTTCCGTTCAGTTAATAACGGTTTCTAGGGTGTATACAATGAAATATTTTACTTACTTGTCATTTTTGTTTAAAATGGACACATTGACGTTGCCTAGTATGATCCGCAAATACAAGCTGTTCTGTTTGGGCAGGGTGGCATTGATCTCGTGCAGCATCGCTTTCCTCTTCATTATCTCCTTTTCCAATTTGGCGATTCGTTCATCTTTGGTTATTCCTTTCTTTTCGAACCTGAAGACATGTATGATTATTAAATATTTGTCACCATCCTGCTATAAAACGACCGGCAAATTAATAAGAAAATATCAAGTCGTTGCAGTTGAGGGAACATGATGTGGAAAACTTTTTAAATCTCGTGTAAAAATACAAATTTAATCGATGTAGCCCAGCCTATATCGTATATGCATATCAGCCCAGCCATATTACTTAGATTACGATACAAAGTTAAATAAGTAAAAAAAATAGTGGACGATATTAAAATTATACTATAATATCTTACATTTATTACTTCACAAAGAAAATTTAAGAGATGTAATATAGCCGATAGAATTTAAAAGCGGCAGTCTTTTAAATTCTAGCTGCTCCACGGTAAAGAGAAGTCCACAGTTAAATGGCCAATACTTTTTAGTGGTGTTCTGTCTGTTAGTGAGTAAGATTCTCCGGGCTCCACGGCATGAGGAAGTGGATTATCTGCCGTTTTAGTCATTCGCAAATCGCAACTGAATTCTGACTTAATATCAGATTAGGTTTTCAAACCGAGACGTAGTCAAAGTTGAGTCAAAGATAGTTGATGAAAAATATCCCGCTCCAACCATCTTCACCTTATCAGCCTAAACAAAATGAAGGTGTCATTTCACTGTGATCTTCTAGGGTGAATGTGACTTTGATAATCCGAGTACCAAATCAGGTGTCCAACTGCTCTTAACTATTCTAGTTTTTTTATAACTTGATCGTTTTGATTTATGAAATCAATCAAAAAAACATTGATTGAACGAATTCGGAAATACTTAATATCCGGGCCTAGGGCAGTTCTTATCCCGGAAATTTCAAATATAGCCGGCCACAAAGTTTATTGTCCGCAAATGTGACCCCAACCAACGACACAGTTGTTGAAGAAAAGTCACGTGAACAAATATTATATTGAAATTTTAATCCAATTGTACATAATGTCATGCAATTTCGTTCAGAACAGAGGTAAGTGGGCAGGTATAATATTATGATTTATGATAATCAGAATAATGTTATGGATTAAGTACTCTCCTATCATAACCAACTAATCGGTTAACGATTCATAGATGGCAACAATTTTGATTTAGTAGCACTTATATTAAATAGCAGTAAGAGCTACTTTTGCAGTGTTTATAGTATGCAATGTCCTTGACTGTACTTGATAAACCCTCGATAATGTAATGGTATTGATAAAATCAAACAAGTTATAAATGTGGTAACAACAAATTTACGTGTCGTATCTCTTCATATAGTAAAACTATTGACCTTTTTCTGACATGATTTAATTTACTTGGGTAAACCTAAGCGAGATGTGAGGAAACATATTTCGTAAATTAATCAACTATCCCCTTTACCCATGTATGAGAGACTGGCTATACACGGACGAGCTGCACTAGCAGTTAGCCAGTGGTCAACATACATGAACCGCTTTTGCAGTCAGAGTCAACAGCTTAAGGCTGCCATTGATAACTGCTGCCATGCCAACTGCCCAAAGCAGTCGCAGCTTGAAGTTGCTCACTCCGTCTGCCTCGAGCTGCCCGTGTATGGCCGGTCTTTGTTGTCAAAAAAGAGCTAATTTCTAATATGATTAGGTGGTTCTATGAACAATCGCTTACGCTCTGCAAATACCAGTTGAAGCGGACATAAATCTCAATACGAGTGCATTTTTTAATTAGGGTTCCGTAGTCCTGACAAGGAACCCTTATAGTTTCGTCGTGTCCGTCTGTCTGTCCGTCCTAGGTTTTGCTTGAGACTGTTAGCACCAGTGAGCTGTAATTTTGTGGAGATATGTATATCAATCACGCCGACAAGTACAATTAGAGTAGCTCGTGTGCACTTGCTACGTGTAACCTGGCGATGATTTTTTTTCATCGTCTACCCCATCGTGTGGGGCATCGTTGAATAGGTCCTTTAAAATTACTGAGGGGTTCCTAAAACTTTTTTAAAGCTAAACTTTTGGCTTGAAAAACCTGTAAAAATCATGATAAAAGTACTTTTCATGAACTTTTAAGAAAAATTATAACGGTTAAGATAGATTTGTTAGTTTAAGAGTAATAGTCATTCATTCAACTTTGGTGAAAGAAAATTTATTACCTATTGAAAATTCCTTAGAAAAAAACATTAATAGTGACATAAATGAATTTATTGCAGCGTAAACCCTTGCATCAAAAAAACAAAATAAGAAAACACTATTGAAAAACCACAATAATACCATTAGTTCCACAAAGCTACCGCGAGTACTAACGGCAACGGCTTCTGAATTGCGCCATATCGTTACGTTTTTATAAAGAGTAGGTACCTAGGTAGGTATAATAAGCACTTAAAAGATCGGCTGTTAACCCGCATCATCCCCCTCTCGGGGATGATCGCTTCAGATGAAGCTTGTAAGGCCCTTCTGGCCATAAGCATGATTAACGGGTGTTTTTTAGTCAGTAAGAGTCTGACATAACCCTACAGCCGGCTGTAGCCATGAGGATTTCTCACCCGCTCCCCCGCCTGGGAGGAAACAAAAAATAAATAAATAATCGGCTGTTAACTTTCGTAATAAAAAAATTGAATAACGAATTGATTTTGTGTTTGAGACGCAGTTTGACTTTGATTTAGATATTTCAGTTGAGATTCATAGTTTGATATTAATTGATTTTGTAATATCCGATACAGAAAATACCTGCTCAAATATATTGTGGTAACAACAGGCAACTACGAAACCCTACACTGCGCGTGGCAAGACAAGAAAAAGCGCTTTATATGTATAAATGATTTCGGCTAAAGGACAAAGTATCCACGGCCAGAATAAATTAAAAAAAGAAAAAAAAAGAACCGCTTATTTTTGAGCATGTTGTGATTTTTTTATTAGATTGTAAAGAAGACATGTTCCAATTAAGTATGAAGTAAAATATCCGTAAAATGGCCTCCACGGTAACCACGACAGGCCGTTGCTCTTTTCATGAAATTTTTGCCATGACTTTTTCACAGATATGTGGCTGTAACTCACCAATGGCGTTGGATCTCGGATTTCGGACGCAGCGAATTTTGAAAAAGTAAATGCAGCCATAACGAGCAACTGTCTGTAACGGTTTTGGTCGGGCGGCGTAAGTGGGATTTTCTTTTTCGAAGATGAGGCCGAAATTGCAGTGACTGTAAATGGCATTCGCTACAGGAACATGTTTTCGGAGTTTTTGTGGCCTCAACTGAACGACGTGCCAACACCATGCGTGAAACAATAAATTTATTGCAGCAATGATTTTTAGAACAAATTATCTCAAGAAATTCTGATGTCAACTGACCACCAAGATCATGTGATTAAACGCAGTGTGATTTACTTTTTTGGGGTATTGCTAAATCTCTTATGCGAATAAACCGAGAACAATTCTTGAGCTCTATTCCGAGATCCAACTCCTAATCGGTGAGATAGAGCCACACATCTGTGAAAAAGTCATGGAAAAGTTCATGAAAACAATAATGGCCTGGCATCAGAACCGTGGGGGCATTATATTTGACGGATATTTTGTTCTATACTTAATCGGAACATGTCTTCTTTTCAATCCAATAAAAATAAGAAAACTTTCTCAAAAAATAAGTGTTTTTATTTTAATATGATTAAGTGCACTCTTAAGACATGCACTATATATAACTAACAGCCTGTAACCAGTCGCCAGTCGTGCTATAAACAAATCGTAGTAAAGTTCTCAAGGCACCACTTGAAGTATTTTCCCGTATAATCCCGTATTTACCTGTCTAATTATCTATCCTGCTGAACATGACCACGGCAAAAATATCCGCATATAATTGATAATGATATAACAATTTATCATTACTTACTGTTAAGATAAATCGCCATTTTTTTTTTATCATGTTGCGGTGGTCGTGCTAGAGAGGCTGCTGATGGGATGGTTTTATCAGCTTTGCTTTATCTTTAGAAATTATATCATTGATTTCTAATACAGTCTTACTACGTTGACGACAGCCATAGTCGAAGTCGTCAATTAAGTTTTGACAACTTGATTTTTTCACTTACTTTACTATAGCAATACAACACGTACACGTACTGTCACTGGGCGCGGCCGTACACGTGTTTTATGATGGTTAATAATGCAAATTCTCGTTCTATAACATCATATTTATGGCGATTTACTACAAAATATATGTTATAAATTGTTATCATTAATTCTGTTGTTGCAATATGAAAAGTGTTAGGATAATAATAGTCTCGTAATATGAACATGTAAAAGCTAAATATACTTATTACCTAGGTACATGCCAACGATATTGAAAATTGGGTTTATCTAGACACCACGAGCGTTCAATTGGAAACGATGCAGAATACGAACTGACTAAGAGAGGAGCAGACACAAAAGTGTAAGGTCTGGAACCCTTGCTGCCCATACCTCAGGCCCAAATAAAACGTGGCTGCGTGAAAGAACTCAGAAATTACACTTGACAGAGTGGAAAACAGGTAAAGGATGCCGGCAAACGAAGGACCCAGTTCCGGCGGCAAACTAGCGACTTGCCCGCACCCTTACCAGACTAAATAGGGACAAAGTCAGCAAGATTATAGGAACCCTGACTGGTCATTATCCCCTAAACAAACATCTAAATGCAATAGGAGTAACAGACCCCCTATGTAAAGGATTCATGGAGGCAGAAGAAACGCCAAAGCATGTCATCATGGAATGCAGGAGTGTGGCCGACCAACCGGCACGACTTCTCCAGCCGCCAGAATCGTTTCCGGAAATTTGCAGCAGTCTCAGGGCTGTTTTTCTTCTATACTAGCTGGCTGGAGTAAACGGGAATGTTTCGAGACACGCACTATTGTCCAATAATAATTAGGACTGTGCAGAAACCGCCCTAAAAAACTAAAACTAAAAGTAATGTTCCTGAAGTGAACAATTAACTAATTAAGGTGCCTTAGTAAACAGAAAGGAGTAATTAAATTTGGATGGACTGTAATTATCTGTTGAATATTGTTTATTATAGAGGGTTTAAAGGCCACATTCACATATCTTATTTATCATAATCGTTACTACTGATTAATATGATTTCAAACATCATAGTATCTTGAAGCAATAAATAAAAAGATAATGTTACCTATTTTTCATAAAAATACTACATATTTACAGACAAGATTTTTTTAAAGTATTGTGATATACCATTACATATTTCAATTCTTAAAATGACATGATATTTTATGAAGCCTAAAATCCACAAATCTGAAATTTCTATATGATCAAAGATCCCATAGATCGGATCTAAGAGAAAGTTATATATTTAAGATGTTTCATACTAATGCCACTATTAAATGAGATGTCTCCTTTATACATAAACCTAATATTTTATAGAAAATTATTTGTAATTTTTGCTATGCATATTGTTTTTCTTTTAGAATCATTAAAATAGACAACAGTTTTGAGCAATAGTATCTTGATTTTGCTATTGAATCTTTGTGAGCATTTTTTGTGTGTTGCAAAAAATATTTGTTTCTATTACCTATGAAAAAATTCTTTGCATTTTATATGAAAATTCAAAACATTTTTTTATTAAGTTTATTTACATTTAACAGGTTTGTAGGTGCCATTTTGTTCGATAACTTTTTGCCGTCTTGTAGGTAGGAACATGATCCCAATGCTATGGAAATTTTGGAGCTTCTGATCTAAGAACCGCGGTCAAATTTGAGTTACTCTCACAGATACTGCACTAGGTTCATAAACAACGAACTTGAAAAGAAGACAGACATAACCTCGTCTTCATTGATTACTGCTGTATGTGATTTGAGGGTTGTCGGATAAATCATCAAATTCCCTACTTTTTAAATCTCACCAACAAAAACATGGTTAACATTATGTAATCAAATATATATTATAATAACTTTTTGATTACAGTCAAAGGATTTAACATTAAACCAACCACTGTAATGACAGAGGTCAACAAGTTCTAAGTAAAAAAAAACAACATGGAGAAACATTTACCATATAAACCTTAATAATAATTGAAATTTATTATGAAAATGACTGTAAAATGTCATTTCCACAACATAAATTAATGTGGTAGTTTTAAAATTGAATAATGGTTAACAATTAGATAGACTTATCGTAATATATGGTAATTAAACTTTATCAATCATAATATAGGAAATAAAACAAAGCTCCCTGACCTTTTAAGTGCATTTGTGATAATAGATAAACGATACTTCTGGTGGTTAATTTCTTTCATGCATGTTGCTTGCAGGTCTCCAACTTCTTCCAGCTTTGTGACATATTCTTTATTAACAGTCTGAAAACAAATAATAATATTAATCAAGTGTGTAGTGATATTTCTCATTACACATTCATTTTTTTATTTATTGCTTTGTTCCAAATTTAGTAAACTCTCTTCTTACATTAAAGAAATACTTCATATTCAAAAGCATGGGTGAAAACAAGACTATTTATTTTAAATTATTTTATTATTATACAACAGTTTCTTTTTATCTACTTTATAAAAATTAGTTATTTATAATCAAACAAAATCCATACATTAAGATTACAATATTAACACAATTTCTTTAGTCAAGTTTTTACTTTCTGATTGAAATATAATTAAAAGTTTAGTTCTTCAATAACAACTCAGCATTGGTTTAAAATAATGGATTAACAGATATGGTTCACTAACCGTAAAAGTTGGAATTATAAATTGAAGTATAAATTTATAAATATAAATTTCTAATCAGTTTAGAGTGTAGTGTTCAGTGATAGAAACATTTGCTTGTAGACCAAAGTCAGTACCTAAGATTTAAAAAGGAATGTTCCATGTTATTTCATATAAGCTAATTTCTCTTTTGAAATGTATTTAATTAAGAAATTTTAAAATCTATGTGCGAATCGCGTAAACTAATTCCCTGCACATTGTCCCAAAAAAGTACATATTTCCAACAAAAATGAAGATAATTTATATCACCTCGAGTCGTTTGTAGTCAACTGCCAGATCTTCCCATTCTTTGAGGACTTCTTCAGCATCCATTTTGCGTTAATTGTAATGAATTAAAATCAAAATGAAAATTTAGCCAAACTTATTGCTAGTCAATCAAAGCAAGATGCGAGCACTCGGACTGAAAAGAAGTGCAAAATGTCACCGAAATGTCAAACTCCGGGGATCGTGTCAAAGTCAGCCGGAGTTGTGTCCCGTAACTACACTTTGGGTGCAACTATTGTAACTATATTAAATAATCTGTGGTCAACAACAACTCAACCTAAGTAACTTTAATAAGGACTTAAATGAGTGGAACGTAGCTGCTTGAAGGCAGTAAATCTGTCGTGTTGTGATGTGACGCGGTCGGTTTCATACATATAGTACGGTTAGAACCATATTAGGATTATACTTGTGTGTCGCGCTGTGTCGACACCGTTTCACTCTAACCATTAAATGTATGAAACAGATAGCTCTCTGATCCGTCACAATCACAACACAATGCGACAGATAAGTGTAATTCTACTGCATATCAATGATATGCTGTCAATTGACGGTGTTCATTGTTATGCAGATGACAGTACTGGGGACACCTGCTATTCCGGCCGCGCTAATATCCCTCGTTCCAAGGTGGAAGAAAGTCGTGAAATACTTGTGTCTGAAGTCGAGAGCATTTTGACCAGAGTCTCCGAGTGGGGTGATAGTAACCTGGTTCAATTTAACCCTTTGAAGACACAAGTTTGCGCGTTCACCGCTAAGAAAACCCCTTTTACTGTAGTCCCTAAATTTCTGAACACATCTCTTAATATTACTAAAAGCATTGGGATCCTTGGTGTCGACATCTCCAGTGACGTGCAGTTCCGAACTCACTTAGAGGATAAGGTCAAGTTGGCATCTAAAAAGCTCGGCGTCCTCAACAGGGCGAAGCAGTACTTCACTGCACAGCATAGACTGTTGCTATATAAGTCACAGATTCGTCCTCACATGGAGTACTGCTGCCACCTTTGGGCCGGAGCACCCGAATACCAACTTGCACCTTTTGATTCGGTTCAAAATCGCGCTGCGAGGATTATTGATGATCCCAAGCTTACAAGCGGTATAGAACCCTTAAGTCTTAGAAGAGACTTTGCATCTTTATGTGTGTTCTACCGCTTGTACAATGTATGGGATGTGTTCAGAAGAACTGTTTGACATGATGCCGACGGCGTCATTTTACCATCGCACCGCTCGTCATCGGCAGGGAGTTCATCCACATACTTTGGAACCACACTGGTCGCGTACAGTGCGCTTTCAGCGGCACTTTCTCCCACGCACGCTGAGGTTGTGGAACGAGCTTCCTGTATCGGTGTTCCCTAGAGACTACAGTATGGGGTTCTTCAAGAAAGGTATAAAAAGTTTTTTGCAGGGTCGGCAACGCGGAAGTAACACCTCTGGTGTTGCAAACGTCTATAGGCTGCGGTAACCGCTTACCATCAGGCAGGCCGCATGCTTGTTTGCTACCTTAGCGGTATAAAAAAAAAATAAAAAAGAATCTGCCATTACTCAATCACACAAAAACGGTTGAACTGTTTGGGATGGCAAACATGTAGTTTAAATTGGATTGAGACATAGGATACTTATTAGCCCAAATCAAATTTAGGTTCCTAAAGGATTCTCCAACGCAGACGAAGTCGCGGGCAGCCGCTAGTTTATTAATATATCTCCTGCAAATGCCCTTTCATTCCCAGTAGTTCCATGTAGCTAGTTTGACATGGAACTACTGATACTGAACCTAAAAATAATTGTACCATTATTTCCACGTAATATTAACTTTTAATTTAATTCCGTAGGTATATGTTTTCCTAATGCATCCTCAAAATGTGAAGAATGTCTTGTGCCTAATTAGTTTTACGTAAATTTACAGCAGATTTATTTAACTTTATTAGGTACACAATACACGCACAATGATGATTTAAACCTAAGAGTTTATTGCCCGTAGTCCTACTAGTGGCACGGGCACTTTTACTTGTCCATAGTCCTATCAATAGGACTACGGACAATTAAAAGTGCCCGTCAACGATATTAAATACCTAGATACAAAATCATGAACAAAATCGTGGCCGAAAACTGTCCAAAAGGTACATTGGACGATCCACGGAGCTCCGTAAAATGATGGCGTAGTTAAAAATAATATAAGGCAATATTTAAACATTGAAAGTCACCTTTAATGATTACTGACAATTACTATATGCCGAAGAATAAAGACCTTATTTCTTTGACTCTAAAGAGCATTTCAATCCCCCTTTCCCTATGTTTCAGTAAATGTGTGGGGATTTACTGGAACCTCCCCGTGGACTTCTTGAGGGAACGGCGAAAGACACTTTCCGCTATTTTGTTGCACTTGCCAACACTTGTGCATGTTTCCGAACACTTAGTGGTTAATAATCCACCATTATTAGACACTAACATCCGCCACAACACAATTTTTAACAAGGAAAACAAATCTGCTAAAGTGACCCTTCCCGATCCCGCTAAAAAGTCCTTTTAAGTCAATTAATTTAAATCTAAAGAAAGGTTTACTAGAAAAAAAAAATCCACGCGGACCAGGCAGCGGACGGGACTCGAACCCGCATCCTTCGCTATCCGGGCGAATGCACTGACCATTATGCTACCACGGCCCTATTAGCCGCGTCGAAATTTTCCTAGCCTTAAGCTGCAAGGCAGCGCCATCTCTTCGCATTGTAGGTAACCCACAATGTCAAATGAATACTTTTTCATGTATTAAACATTTGAAAGAAGAAATAGCAATTATAGTTATGATTTTATTTATTTTTTAAGCATTTAACTGCTAGATGTTTAAATCTAAAGAAAGGTTTACTAGAAAAAAATCCACGCGGACCAGGCAGCGGACGGGACTCTAACCCGCATCCTTCGCTATCCGGGCGAATGCACTGACCATTATGCTACCACGGCCCTATTAGTCGCGTCGAAATTTTCCTAGCCTTAAGCTGCAAGGCAGCCCATCTCTTCGCATTGTAGGTAACCCACAATTAATTTAAGTTATTTTTGTCGCATTTTTTCACGGAGCTCTGCGGCAACTTGACTTTTCAACGGCTCGCAGGTGACTGTGAACCGGTTCTGGTAATAATAAGTTACTCTGTGCTGTGAACCAAGAAGTGTTAGAGTGCTGTTCCAAGCAATTCTTGATTGGGACACATTTTGAGCGCACGTGGTATATATAGGGAATTTAATAGCGTTGATGGACTATCATAACTTTCCCCCCAAGACAAAGGCTAACTAGAGCCTAGGATCAAGTCTCAGAGACGCCCCCCTCAGGTTCGAGTGGTCTAGACTCTAGAGGCTCCAGACGGAGAGGAGACGCCCCCCGTGGGGAGATGCCATCCGTCTGGAATACCTCTAGAGGCACTCGGCAATTCTCGGCTTGAGGTCCCTTTAGGATCTCGCCGTCCCCAAACCCGGTGACGCTGGTCATCATCATCAAAGGTCATCTGCGACCAACAGCATACGCACTCAAAAAAAAAAACAACTTTGTTTTATAGACTTGCTATTTGTTAACTTAGTAGTATGGCGTAGTTTGGATGCACCTGTAAGTTTGAATCGCCTTCTACGCGTGCATGTTCCGAGACGAGCGCAATAAGCCGTCGAGAATCTTTATTAGGTAACATTTTAGAAAAACATGCAATTATTATTTTAAAATATTTCACTAGTGAGTAAATAACAGGGTAGTTAAATAACGGAGACATTATAAAATAAATCTGGTATTTAATCAATTTATTTACAGACATATTAAACCAAATTGTAGCTGTTAATTTTTATTATAAATTTTGAAAAAGTAATACTAATTAATAAAAGCTGGGATACTTTTCTTGAGAGATTTAAATTAAAACTCTTTTAATTTTATCACGGTAATTATTTTATATATTTCTACGTACCAATAAAATGTTGCATATGAGGTTAACGATATTCCGTTAATTTCTTATTTTAAAGCATTTATTGTTATATTGAGTGCTTTACCTATATTACTCATTAATTGTAATACAAATGTTCTTACCCATATAAAGTACATTTTAATTGCAAGCCTTTAAACCTATGCGATTGCCGAATATCAAAGAGATTAAATAACATTCATAACTTTCGTATAAATAATACAGAGCACATGACCACAGTCTTCAAACTTATGCTATGGCATACTAAAAATCCATGTCTATTATAAACATGTGAAAAAATTATAGGAGTCAATGCTAGCTCTTTCTTGTTGTATATTCCCATCAGAGAGTGAGAGATCCAAGAGCAATAAAAAAAAGTGAATAATATGAAATACATTTTTTTAATTTTGATAATTTTTAACTGTGGCTAATATAATATTGTTTTCAATGTAAAATATCTGTCTTATATTTACTGCACATCGAACGCTATCGAACAATTTTATTCATCTCCTTGTTTAATATGTATTAACGAATTTACATTTCGTAAATACACATAAAAGAAATAGTGCATTTACGAATTTACATTGAATTAAGCGAATCTTATCGGTTTCGGGATACTCATCTGGTTATCGTGTTGAGTTTCCTATTATGCTGTCGATTGAAGTGATGCCACAATTGCGTATTATAATCAATATTAGTCAACGCGACTACCAAGAAAGATCACGTTTCAGTTTCATAAGCAATGTACATATTATAGTAATGTAATCTAACACGACAAAGCTTCTAATAGTTTGATAATATCTACCGCTATTTCCAGTACTAATACCAGGGCAACCACTTCATTAACGTAATAAATTAAAACTACCAAGATAATAGGCTTTGTTACTATAGCTACCTCAAACAAGATAGAAAATTAAAGTATTAATTTATATATCACACACTTTAATTTACGTGAATTCTTGTACAATACAAATATAAGAAGCAGTATCAATATGAAGATTAGGAATATGAATAGCAATACTAATTCTAGCAATTTCAATGCTCGGTGCTCATCTGTATTAATTATTTAGGAGACTGAAAGTTTATTGAAAATAAATTAAATAATTAAAAAAGTTAAAAAAGAACACTAACTTATAGTTAAAGTTTTGAAACACCAAAACTTAAAATAAGTCTATGAATGAACTATGAAGAGTATGCTCTTAGTAAAAAAGCTCTTATTCCAAACATCGCCAGTGAATCGTATTTTTTTTTAAATAATAATAATGCTCGCAGTTTCGTTGTCTCCAGAGATGGCCATTAATGCTGTTGGCATTTTTGCAAACAAACATAATGAACATCAAGTCGAGCAGAGACCAATATTTTAATTAATATGTACACTCATTAGGGGCATATAATAATGATGATTTTCTCATTCAAATATAATGTTTTTTTTTGTCATGAATAACCATCAGTATCAAATTTAATAAAGCTAAAATTATAAATAAAACAAATCACGGTACAAATATGCCTAGATTGGACATTATGAAAAACATTTACTATTTATATTAAATAAAAATTACATCTAAACGCGCCTATGAATAAACAATAACTATAAAATAAAACAGAAGGACATTAAATTATAACACAGCTTTTTGCCTCACTTCAAACTTCCAATCGGTTACATGACAGATGCTATATCCTCACTCCACCATCCAAAATTTATCCTGAGAACTCATTAATACAATCAGATAATATTATACAGCTATTATAATATGAACCATTATATTTTAATGGAATGTGACATTCTATAATGTAGTATCAGGTATATGTGATGTAGTGCAGTAATATTATCCGGAGTTGTTGGTGTATTGTGAAACATAGCATCGCCAAGTATACAAGAAGATTACAATGAGCAGGAGGAAATATCATTAATAAATAACTACATTCCTGTCTCCGATAAAAATGATTTAAACATTACGTTCGCAACTCATTGCAGCTAACGTGTGAAAAAATAATGATTAAGATATCATCGGTGAGTTTAAGTTACTAAAATGGCAACGCTCTTAGCGACACTCCCAGACTTTGACGGTTTGATCAACGCTGCCCGATATCACGTATGGCAAGCTCCTGTGGAAATCTGAAAAGAAAACATACATTATTAGTCTGATGCACAATTAGGAAAGCTATATACTTAATTTATTTCTGTTACATTCTATTTATTATTAGGAAAACCATCTTCTTTAGCTTCGTATCATTTATAATTACGTCTTCGATCGTGAATGAGAGTAAGAGCGTGCGCACCGTACGCTTTAAGCAATTTTCACTATTGCCGGATATAGGAGGAATGACCAAAAGCTCATCAGTGCTTTGCAGTGTTGCAAAGTCCGATTTTTAAAAATCGGAAGGCGTTATAGAAAAAATCTGTAGATGTATGGAAAGAGGTACAAGAAAAAAGACGTATTATTACCAATCAGAAAATCTATTGAATGTTTCAATCTTGACCCCGCCCGACTTCCAAATCATGAGCCAGATATTATTTTTTTCCAGTTCCATTTGCGATTTTGAAGTTGGTTAATTCTTTGTTTAAAAAAAATATTTCATACATTTTAGCTAACATTACATCGTACAAGTAAACAATAAACAAAAATGCTAATTAAATAAAAATTACTTGATCAAACAAAATATAATTATATAAACAAAGTGTAGTGAAAATTACATCGTCCAAGTAATAATAAAGAATTATATAGGCCATTAACGAATGCGTTTCTGTGGCTTCTGCCGCCACTCAAAGCTCGTTTTTCTTTCTTTCACTTTTTTCGATCTGTAAAATCGAGAGACCTAGCAACCCTGGTGCTGCGGAAGGCTCGTAAACAGACCCCCACACTAGTGTCTATCGAGCGTCGTGGTCATGCCAGCGTCTGCATAACGTCGACGCGACGCCAGCACTGATGGGCTTGCATTGTGCTTGTTCAATTGTTTCATTGTGCTTGTTTGTAATCACAAACGTTAAATTGAGGCCGCGTAGACGCAAAGGCAACGCTGTGTAAGCCCAGGGTTCTGTTTAAGATCTAAGGTAAATATTACCACGAGAGGAGTCTTGTCGCGTGAGGCGGGCGGCACGCTTACTGTGACTCACCGAGAGTGGTGGCGAAGTGCTGGTGCGCGTAAAGCGTCTTGAGGCAGCGCGTGTGCGCCACATGCCACACTTGTCGCCTAAAGCGGGCGGCACGCTTACTGTGACTCACCGAGACTGGTGGCGAAGTGCTGGTGCGCGTACAGCGTCTTGAAGCAGCGCGTGTGCGCCACATGCCACACTTGTCGCCTGAGGCGGACGGCACGTTTACTGTGACTCACCGAGACTGGTGGCGAAGTGCTGGTGCGCGTACAGCGTCTTGAGGCAGCGCGTATGCGCCACATGCCACACGTGTCGCGTGAGGCGGGCGGCACGCTTACTGTAACTCACCGAGACTGGTGGCGAAGTGCTGGTGCGCGTAAAGCGTCTTGAGGCAGCGCGTGTGCGCCACGTCCCATACGCGTAGGGTCTTGTCGTCGGACGCGGTCAGCAGGTAGCGCCCGCCCGGGTGCCACGCGGCGCCGCGGACCCAGTTGTCGTGCCCCACCAGAGTCGCAAGGCACTGCCCCGTGCTCACGTCCCAGATCTATAAATACACCATTTTATATATAATCTCTTATCTATTAGACAAATCCGTCCGTCCGTCCGTCTGTCTGTGGTGCTGTTTCAGCGGCCAAACCGTAAGAGATAGATAAAGAGAATGTTTAAGTTATAAGTTAAGAATATTCTGATAAGACTACAAACCGGATTTGAGTAACGTAGCACTTCCGGTTTTCGAGAAATCACGTGATTTCTATTTTGTAATTATCACAATTTTAATTAACTATTTAAAGGTTAATTTTTTTTTAAATTTTTTTTTAACTAAATAATTTCAAACGAAACCACACAAAATCTCCGAAGTTCTCAATTAATTAAATACATTTTTTAAATCAGGTTTTGGTAAACATTTGGTTCACTGGTTTGCTAGTTAATACTATAAGGTAATTTACGTCCGAACGAATATCATGACGTTTGTTTTCCATGAATAAACAAATAAATAAGGTTGCTCATTGTTTCTTTTCTGTCAAAAACCCTTCATAGCAGATGCGGTGGTGTTTTTTTTAAAGTCCGACAAATGAGTCCACCCCACCTTATGTTAAGTGAAGGTGAACTCCAGACGGGAAGATAGCTGATTCAGCAGTCCTACCTGCCACACCAGACATCCTCACCCTGCCGGCCTGCATGTTGCTTCTTCACGCCTTTTTTAAAGGATACCAGATTGTAAGAGGGAGAGAACACGTGAGCGAGCAGAGCATTCAATTTACCGATAGTATGGACAAAGAAATGAGTCACCAAATTTCTTTGTACGCGTTGGAATTGTGGTCACAGTTAGACGGTGACAACGTAAGCCAGCGCGCGTGGTCTTCTGAAGGAAAGGGGAAGGTGGAATAAGAGAGAATAATTCTTAGAACACTCGCCATGGTACAGACGATAGAATGCGCTTAGTGACGCCACGTCACGGCGTAATTGAAGAGACTCGAGGTGTTTAGTCACCTCCTCATCGCCTATGATGCGGATCGCGCGCCACTGTAACCTATCCAAAGCAACGAGTGTACTGACTGGACCTTGTTCCTTGTATAAAGATCTCACCTTGACGGACTTGTCGCGCGAGCCGCTGGCCAGGAAGGGCCCCGCGTGCGCGGCGCGGCGGTTATCCCCACCCGCGGCCTCGTTGATAGCCGCTGCGGCCGCTTCTGGTGCCCACGCCACGCATTCTACCACGTGCTCGTGTTCACGCAACTCCATCTGTGTAAAAAGCCATGATTAAAGACTTCTTTAATATTCCGCAATTACGTACAACAAGTTCAACATCAAAAAAAAGCGGTCAAGTGCGAGACGGACTCGCCCATGAAGTGCTCCGTAAGGTTTCCGCCCACTTTGGAAGTGTCTCACGCGTAAACTATTCAGTTTACAAATAAAGAATATTGGAATCCTCAATATCATTTTACCCATACGTATGGGTTTGATAAAAAAAAATAAGTTTCAGTTCCAAGTATGGGAAACCCCTAAAATTTTATTGTTTTTCTTCTATTTTTATGTGAAAATCTTAATGCGGTTCAGAGAAAACATGTACTTAACAACTTTCAACAGTATAATTCTTATAGTTTAGGAAAAAAGTGGCTGTGACATACGGAAGGACATGACGAATCTATAAGGGTTCCGTTTTTTCCGTTTGGCTACGGTAACCTAATTAAATCGGGGCTGAAACCTGACGTAAAGCCACAGATCACCTTGCACTCGTTGGTGTCGGCGTTCCACACGCGCACGGTCTGGTCGTTGGAGCAGGAGGCGAGCAGCGCCCCGTCCGGTGACACGCGCACCATACGCACCCACTCGCGGTGACCCTTGTACGTCTTGATGCAGTATCTGTTCAACAAACAGTACAGTAATTCAGCCAGCTGCTTATCATTAAGTCACCTACCTACCACCCTATCGTCAGATCGCTTTGGTGAATCGCGTCGCGCAGATTTACTTAAGAATCCATACGAACGTCGAGAACTTGGCCGCAATGACCTTTAGTTTAGGGTCTCACAGACAGAGGGGGCCTGTGGCCGCGGCCAGCCGAGAGGTTAATTGTGCGAGTTTTGTGCTGATCATTCAACAGCACCGATGAATGATCAGCACAAAACAATGTTAATGTTATCTTATTGTCATTAGAGTGATGCCGATTTTTTATTGCTGAGAAGACGGAAGGCTGGTGTTTGTTTGTGTCATCCCATCCTATCCCAACCCCCGGTAGCTTTTCCCCCAAGACACAAACGCCACAGCGCCGGCCAAGTCAGGCCAGGTCTCCCGGAGAACGCCTGAGATATGACAGTATTCTAGTTTAGGTTTAATATTTAGAATTATTTTATCTGAAGCTGTGAATCGCAGTATCTATGTGAGAGCTACTCTGCGCTTATACAGGAGAAATGGAGAAATATTACCCTTTGCACAAAATCTCCGCTTCTCTTCAGTAGGCAGACAGGCAGCCTTACAGTGCTTACTTTGGGGGTAGCTAGTATGCTTACTTGGAGGCTAAATAATGTGCGTGTAAGAAATATTTATATTCAATTTTATTGTAAGAAATATTTATATTCAATTTTATTTACTATCTCTAATGAAACTTTAAAAGAATAATTTAGATTTAATTTGCAGCAGTAAATATGATGTAACTATTATCTCGACACGGAACACTGCGTGAAGAATACAGATATCAGATTCTACTTACCCAGTCGCCACTTCCCATGCTTTAATCGTCTTGTCGCGGCTGGCCGAGTAGACAATGTCGCCGCTGGGCGAGAACGCAACCGATGACACGTTGTGGTCGTGCCCGTGCATCGTCTTCACGCACTCAAACGTCTGGTTGAAGTCCCACAGTTTGATGGACATGTCTGCGCTGCATGACACTGGAAGTGAATAACGAAATATGACATACAACCCAGATATCTATAGAATCATTACTAGGTCAGCAAATCAACAACAGTATAATGATCTAATAAGCTTTTTAATTAATATATTTTTTAAATCATCGGAATCGGTTCATTCGTTGCGATTTTATAACTACTTTTATGGTAGCCAATGTTCACCGGTAGCCGAAATGTGTGACATCACAGAGCTCGATCGAGTTTACTCCGGTCGAACTTCAGTAGCGTCTCTACGCACGCTCGCCCGAGCGCTAGAGCTCTGTGACGTGACAGCCACCACACGGCCAGCCAAAAATTCGTTTAGTAATTTGGTCATAACTTCGTCAATATTAGTCTTAGAACAAAAATTAAAACCACTGTATTTTATGGAATCCTTAGCTCTATAAATCTGCATTATCAACTAAAATCGTTACGGATCCTCATTCCAAGCCGGGCAGACTGCAATCGTAGGTGATACTGCGGCTAGCGCCTGCGGTCGACCGCAGTTTCGCAAGCGACCCACCGCGGCTGCAGTGTCGCTGCGTTCAGAATCAATTTCATGGAGATGCATAGAACCAAGTGGTGTCGCTGCAGTTTGCGGTCTGCAACGTGTGTCCGATGTTGGTTGCAGATTACCACTACATCGTCATCGGGGCAGCGACAATATTAGGGAACCATAAGCCGAGAAATGGCGAGTGCCTCTAGTGGTTTTCGCTTTTCGGTTGTTGAGTCATTAGGCCCCTAGAGCCTAATTATGAAATAATGCTTGCAAATAGCAAATACGAATATGAAGTACTAGCATAAAATAAGGAGAAACTTGAAAACAAAAATAGTCAATTGTCGATTCTGCAAATTTTATTTAATTAATAATATATATATAATAATAAGTGTACCAATAATGTATATCAGTATTTTTGATTTTTTATACGGAAAGATAACAGACTCAAAACTGAATTATGCGCTTTCAGTAAATTCTCTTCTCGTTATTGTTGGGAGGTACGTAAACTGTGGTGTTACGATAGTGAATATAAGGAATGAGATATAAAAGTTGAAAATTTTGTGATCTCACCCTTAGCATAAACCAATATCGAATTCGAATAGTTTGCGAGTGCGAAATGTCAATGTCAAATTTTGTATTGAAACATGCAACAGCAGCGCCACAACAGACGTAACGAGACCTAAAATTAGTATACATTTGACAGTGACATATCGCACTCGCAAACTATTCGAATTCGATATTGGTTCGTGCTAAGGATACTGATTGTTACCAAAAACTGAGTTAAGGTTTTATCAAGTATTTTTTAAGATAAACAATCAATAAGCGTGGCATAAACATACTTTATATTGAGAATAATTAATGAAAAACATGTTATTTTGGAAAATGCATGAAATTTGCATGGAAAGGATACAGCAAATTAAAAGATTATCTCACATAATAATCAGAATAAAAGAGATTAAGTGATAAGGTGGAAAGAAATGAAAGAAAAATCGAATGGTTACCCAGTAGTTTCCCGTGGTGGTCGAATGCGATGTCCTGAACGGAGTCGGTGTGCCCTTTCAGGGTTCGTTCGTACTCGCCGCTCTCAAACTCCCATACTTTGATGGTGGCGTCTTCACTTGAGGACACCATCAAACTGAACACTGGATGAAATATTACCTATGGAAAAACAACCAAGCTAAAATAATATCACGCTCATGGACTATTGAAATATTATGAACAGAGTTTTAATATAAATTATGTTTAAAAATGGAATCTTATCACTATAATTTTTATTAGTATACGCATATCAGTTTCCTTGGTCCTTCCCATTTTCCTTTACGGAGCCGAATAATGGACGGTGAATACAGCTGATCGAAGAAGCATCGATGCTTTCGAGATGTCGTGCTGCCGGCGCGTGTTACGTATACCGTGGACAGTCCATTAGGTCAAATGCATAGATTGATTGATTTACACTTTATTATAAAACCAAATACATAATTACATATCATTCACAATAAACTTAACAAAAGCGTTATAATTGGCGGTTTAGTCGCTAAGAGCGATTTCTTCCAGTCAACCGTGAGTATGAAAAGTTATACAGAGACTGTAGCCCCAACCTATGTATAACCTGTTATATGGCTTGGAATAAATAGTCACATCCATACATCATCTACATCAAACCTATTCGACCGGAAGCCGGATTGAAATTTTAAATATAACCTATACAGACCGTATAGGTTATATTTAAAAAGGAATGCCCTTACTTGGTTATGTACAAGACGTTCAAGTGCCATGGATAGGAAAGGAAGTATAGAAATGGGATGGAATTCGGTGACAGATTTAGAACAAGGCTTTTTAGGTAAAGGGATAATTTCAGCGTCTTTCCATGCGGAAGGGAAATCAACCTTAGTCAAGGAGCAATTAACAATGAAGGAAATGCCTGGAAGAATGAAATCAAGAATCGGCATAAACATATTGCGACTAATATCGTCAATACCGACAAACATTAGAGGTGATTGACAAAATGCTCTTTTTAACATCACAATCCGATAATCGAGCAAAGACAAATGGAGGAACGTCAGGCAAACGTAAAGAAAAAAGGTAGTTAATGGTCTTAGTTTGGTCAGAATAAATAATTCCAGATGAAGCAAATTTGAAATTGAAGGAGTCAATATTGATATTATTTGGAAAGTCTCTTTACGAGCTTTACCAATGCCAAGTGACCTTATTTTCGATAGAGGAATGAATATGACGGCGTATGGCATCCCTACACACTGTATTGCAGCGATTTCTAGCCTTATGGTTATTTTCTTCATTTTTATATATTGCTTGGCGCATGTTTGTCGTATAGTTGTATTATGAGTCTGTTGAAAATTGCAACCTGTTCGTCTATGGTTACAGCATTGTATACAGGAGACCAGTCAATACCGCGTGCATCTTCAAGCAAAGCACCCTGCTCATACCACTAAAAGATTTTTAAGGAGTTGAATGTGACACAAAGATTTTCGAGCGTTTGCCTCAAAAACGTGTTGCAATATTTTAGTTACATGGCCCGAAAACCTTTGATAACGAGTTACAGTGTAATTCGAAGGCAAAAGAGCAAGAGGTCGCCGCCCTACTTGATAGGCCGATCAAATATCGAAATATCTTAACACCACCATCACTGACACTCTTGACCACGCTAAAGATAGGGAAACCTGGAAGTATATATGTGGAGAAAATATGAGTTGGGAACATCACGACGCTCAGCATTGAACTACGCCTGGGGGAGGAGGACGCATATCAGTGCGACGCCGACGCTGCAGCTGATCGCTAGTTTATCTACTAAGCTTATTTTGCTTTATAGTTCTGTTAACGATTCTTATATACAAAATTTGCTATCATCAGGCAAATACATATAGTCATACATCAAAATATAAATGTATTTGTATAAAGAACTTAAGAAAATCTGGTCAATTATTTGCTTACCTATCTGTCTACATTATTGTATTAGTAATCCACATAAATTTGTTATAACTCAGCTAGACCCTAACATAAAAAGGCGTTTGATGTAATGTGCGTGAAGCACATGCAATACACACGCTACCAAAACGCATTTAACACGCAATGGGGTATTTCATATAAAGTATTACATTGTATGTATACAAATTAGAGAAATCTTGAATTAGGTCTGTTTTTCGGGGTGAGCGAGGTCTGTATTTCTGATCTGCGTCGTCTCAAAAGATGTGTCTATGTGGTTGATATTTATGTTTTATCTGTGCTATATTAACTTTAGGTAGATGGTGGGGAATCACCTGTAAGGAAGGAATAAAGGTTGTGAGGTAGCGTCGTAGCATATGGTTTGCGATTGTGGAACTTCCGTAAAGGTCGATCATAGTTCATCGGTGCTTCTGAAGCACGTTAAGTCGTTAGTCATTGCACGGCTGTATTTGCAATTGTTAGTATTAGCACACACCAGTTTCCACTGGTTCATTATTACTTTGTTGTTGATATTTCATCTATAGAGAAAGTCTGTGCCTTAGCAGGGTAAAAATTATAGTCTGTTAATAAAATGGCATGTATGCTATGTATAGTGCGATTCAAATAAGAATAGGAAAGCCAATGCCCTCCATCTGACAAATGTTACTTGAAAAGTACGGTGTGCAAAAAAAAAACTTGGAACCCTTTTTTAGCACTCTGCTAAATCTAGAATAAAAACCAAACATTTGTAAACAAACAATAACAAATATTGATTATTAATATTGGTTGATATATTTTTTTTATTTATTAAGCTTTGGCTATGAATGGTTGATAGCCAACATCGCCAACCAAATGTCACTTTGGGTTGCGTTCAAAAACTTTCGTTTACATAAAGGATGCATGTTCGTATTCATAACTACTCCGGCGGTAAAGCAGAGATGAGCGGAATTGAAGAGCTAGATTCTGATTAATGTTTATTCTCACGTCTTAATAAATAAATATTATTAAAAATCAGTTTTTTCTTTCTTAATCATAGAAAATAAATTTTAATAAAAAAGTCTGATGTTTTTTCTCACTTAATGTAAGTAAATAAGTTTTATTAAATAAAAACTTTTTTTGCTCACTCTACCTATTTGGTTTGAATTGACAGCTATGACATCACAATATGGCGCCCAGTCGGTCATATTCTTAGTTCAATCGCATTATATGAATGAAACATCTTGAAGCTTCACATATTAAATCCGTCATACTTTATTTCAAATATGCGAAGAAATAACATGTATTGTAAAACAATCGAGTTTCAAGGGTGCGCGCGTATGCAATGGGTCGTACGTATTGTTCTAAGCTAACAATGCGAGTTAAACACTAAATTATTTGCTACTAGATCTGGAAAAAAATCGTAAAAATGCATTTTTTGTCTTTTCCGCACAGGTTTAATAATATAGTGATATAGAGGTAAATGTGAATTTTTTCAAAATTTTTGACACATTTTTCATATTCGTATTTTTGTCAATTAGGATTAAAACTCAAATTCAATCTTGACATAACTACCAAATCGTTTTAGGAGGGGACGACACGGCACTGGCATCGGCACCCGCGCCGGCGACAAGCTTTAGTTGGGTTTTTTAAATGATCACCAAAAACAAAGATAAAATGATCGTCAAAAATACAAAAGGTTTGCAGTTGATTTTTGGTGATCATTTACTATTTTAGGTGATCGTTTAAACATGAGCTTTGTCAAATTATTTTCATGCACTTACCTTGGTAATAGTTGCTCGGTGTCCGGTCAAACAGAACTTCTCTGGTGGACGCGGTATCCATTCCGCAGGTGTCCTTTTAGCGCGAGTCGGAGCCCCTTCGATGAATTCTTTCTGTGCCTCCGACAATTTGGATTCTAGCTCCATCACCTGCAATATTATAAATTAACATTAGCAAGGTGTAATATAAATAAGCTAGACGTATCAATACCAAACTTTTTATTGTCCTACACCACATAAAACTTAACATTAGGTACAAAACCATAGAATACTGGTGGTGGTACAATGGGCGGCCTTATCGCTAAAAGCGATCCGTTCAGGAAGTGGCAGAGACGGCGATGTAAATCGCTAGTTTAATCTTTCAGTAAATATATACATACACATATTACACCATGCACATATTCAAGTATATTACTATTTCTTAAATCAAATTTGAGCTTAATCCAGTTTGAAAGTTCACTCTGTCCTTTTTTTGTTTTGTTTCAGAACATGTTTGATTGAAGTCATTAAGAGAAGTTTTAAGAACATCATACCATACTATTGGATAATTTCATTGCGTGGAATAAGAAAAGGTCCACCTGTGTTGCCAAAACAGCTATAAGGAAGCAATTCTAGAAAAGGATATATCAGATATATGTATAGACACGTGCACAGTTGCAAGAATGCCTCTCACAAAGCTTGCACGCCTGCGTCTTTTCCACTTACAGGCATGTGTGTCACCAGTTTTATTGTAAAAGTAATTCATACTTTACACGTATTGACGTGGGAATAAGGAGGTGATAATTAGACCTAATTCCATAACGCGGACTAGAGTTAGACTTTGTTTAAATCTAATGTTGTCTGTATCTTCCTTTTAGAAAACAAATGGGACAGCGCCTGCTTTAGTCAAGTTTAACTTTAGTCTACGTTTTGTATTAAGGCGGTGAATGTTATGCAATTCTGCAACACATTTCAGTATTCAAAATATTTTTAAAACCCACGCAAACACCTTGTAAGCCGTGTTACATAATCGGCCGTTATGATTACGTTATGCATGCTATGGTTGATGACCTCCATGGCGAAGTAGTATGTATACCGGTTTTCAAAGTGTCACCTACTCAAGTAGCATGGGTTTGAATCACCACTAAGCAAATGTTTGTATGATAAATACAAGCTTTTGTAACCTAACTCATGTGTCATTGCTGTTTATCATTATATGCAATTTTACTATTCGTTACTCTAGTATCCCATAACAAAAGCATTAAAGTGCTAAATTAAACAAGTTTCAACGGTATATATGCAATAATTTATTTATTTACTGACGCTTCGCATCCTGTAAAGGATGCTTAATGCGTATTCTGGACGTTAGAAGACGAAAAATTAATTTTCGCGCCTTTGTCTGCAGTATGTGAAAATGCATTAGGGGGACCACACCATTACATTAGATTAGACAAACCACAGATCCTTGCAACTGAACAACGATTCATTCCTAGAATGATACGCGAAGCTATTGAGATTAAGAAATATCCAAATTTCAATAGGGAAGATGGTTGGTATATACCACCAGCTTGTAAACCCATTGTAAAACAGATAAAATCCCAACAACGAACACACACTGCAAGACCAACAGATACTATTAGTTCTTTTTGTTTGCATGATTTAACATAAGGAGATAGAAAGCCTCTCTGAGTTTGTTACGCCAGTTCTTCTCAGAAAGGTCTCCTAATTTTGGAACTGGTGGTAGTTTACGGTAGTTAAAGTATTCTAATAAATAAACTCAAAATTATAAAAAAGTATTAAAATAAGGTACTTTATTAATTCAATGAGATAATAAATTCATACATAGACAATTATGTTTTAAAATCTTCCAATGAAATATCTGACCGCTCAAAAAGTCTTTCGAAGGTAGCTCGACAAAGTAAATAAAATCATTATTCAGACGACGCATCCTGTTAAAGATCCGAAACGTCAATAAATAAATAAATCAGTGCATGGGTATTTAATATCGTTGAAATTAGTTATTTTACGTGCTTCGATTGAGATGGAGGTATCGGTAGGTGAAATAGAGATAGAGGCTGTTTTATTAAGAGTGACATCCGTTATTTAATATGACGACGTATACCGATTAGAGTACTATTTATTAATCACAATATTTAACTGTAACTCAGATTGAAATAAGGAACCGAGAAGTTTTAATGTCGTAGTCACAGTCAATCATCTCTTGGACATATGATTTAACTTCGTACACATCTTGAGTTTTCTTTTAATTTTTCCAAATGTGGGATTTAAATGTTGGTATATATATTAAATTATATTATATTATTCTGTGCTTCGGAAGGCACGTTAAGCCGTTGGTCCCGGCTGCATCTACAGTCGTTAGCACCCACCAAGCCGCACAGGGCCCGCGTGGTGGGTCATATCCCAATCTCCCTAACCCATCCATAGGGAAGGCCTGTGCCCCAGCAGTGAGGACATTAGTAGGCTGATGATGATGATGATGATATATATTAAAACCTCAAAATATCTTTCGTTAAGCTGCTACAGCCGACAATGGACTTTCCGATGGCAGCGCGGTATTACTTGCTTGGTTACATTAAATAGTTATAGCTCTAGATTGATCATTTAAATAGGTTTATTTGTTGAGTGAGGCTAAATAGAGATAAAACGGACTTATATCACCTTGGTTAATTGGGGTCTATTTGTTTTGGTTCGTGACATTATTTGTGATAGTGAAAAAGGATGTGATACTAAAACAACGTGCGGTATCGGCCAGATTGCGAATAGAAAACTCATGCTGTTGACCTAGAAACGTCCAAAAGCAAGGTTGATCGATCCCCGATCTATTTTCCCACATCGAGTCGCGTCGCGGGATGTCATTAAACCTTTATGGTGCAACAAAGCTGTCAGCGATTAGTCAGGCCACGAAAACTTTAACAGTGGATTAGACAATTTGTATGTGGAACATTGAAGACCGCTCGACGATGTGACCTCACGGATACGGATCACGAGAGCACGCTCGATGACAACATTGATACGCTTCTTCAATATTATTACCTCCAAATTACGTAATGTGCATCACATTACAACAAGTTGAGCAAAAAATTGCTAATAGATATTAATAAGTCGTTCGTAAAATGAGTTACTAGTAAATTAAAGTGCCAGTGAAGTAATCGTAAGTGAAAGGTCTTTAAAATATTCATTTAAATTGCTTCTTATTCAGTTTTGTACACTTTTATAAAAAATAACGAATGCACCATTATGATCACAAGAGAATCATTTGAGAACATATCGCAACACGAACACAGCCAAGAGGGGAGTAACGTCAAAGTACAAGAGTCTTAGGGCGGATACACACCGTAATGGCATCGCCCGGCAGCGACACGGCGAGCATGTCGTGAAGGTATGTAAGATAAAGTTAAAAATTATGTCAGTGTGACATGTCACACTCCTGTACTTTGACTGAACCTCTTAACGTTACTCCCTTCTTGGCTGTGTTCGTGTTGCGATATGTTCTCAAATGATTCTCTTGTGATCATAATGGTGCATTCGTTATTTTTTATTAAAGTGCGGCCGCGCGCGAAGCCATGCAGCGAGACCTTTTCAAGCCATACTAGCCCGCTGCCAATTAGCCCTTGTGGGAATTATGATAGTTGCGTAAGGTATTGAAAATTTTAATTATTCCATAGTTAAAAAATAAAACATTAAAAATATGTATACTTAATTAAAGAAAGTTTACCTACGAGTATCCTCTGCAGTTAATAAGGTTATTGCACTATTACGGTCAGAGTATACTAATCTCATTTGATGTCCCGCCGAAGTATAGCATTGATGATATTGTACCTTTTTTTATACTTTTTTCTTTTGTACTTCTTAAAGAAGTACAATATCATCAAATCTTCATTCCAGATAACATTAAAAGAAGTAAAAAATGATCTTTTATAGGTGCACATTTTCAACTCATTTAGTAATAAATGTTTATTTACGCTTTTGTCAATTTATACGTAAAATGTACAAGCACAGCCATTTAAACAATTACCTGCATAAAAAATGAACTATTTAATATTCATATCATAATAACAGTCGTTTGAAAACTAAAAAATTACTACATGATTACAACAAAATATAAAATGGCTCTATTGAAGAACCCAGATAAGCAGAGGTTTGCAAAACGTAAATGCAAAAGCATTTCTGGTTGGAATATTTATGTGAAAGATAGTCATAACTTGTACAAATTACACTTTGAGTCGTGGATTACTGCTGGTAGACCTTGTTCAGGACCTATTTACGATAGCATGTGTTGCAGTAGGAAGAAGTTTAAAAGTAAATTAGCTTGGTGTCAAAAGAATGAAGAGAAAATAAAACTTGACATATTAGCGTATTCTTGTAAAAATAAAAAGTTTGTGTCCTTTTGGAAGCAAACGCGTAAATTCTCATCAAAACAGTCTTTACCAATAAGTGTAGATGATGAACAACAACCTGAACAGATAGCCAATAACTTCGCGAATATATTTAAATTAAGTCCACAGCCTGCGAGCGGCTATGAGTGCAAATTTGCCTCGAAAGCGGACCATGTGTCAACGAGTAAGAAATTTCAATTTATCCCTGAGGAAATAGCGAAGGTGGTGGGGAGGAAAAAGCGGGGGAAATCTCCAGGTCATGACAATCTGAGCTTGGAACACATTTCTTACGTTGGTAAGGAGATCTACCCTAAGCTAAGTAGCCTTTACAATCTTTGTCTAAGGTATTCGTATCTCCCCTATGACATGATGCTCACAAAAGTTGTCCCCATTACCAAAAACAAAACTGGTAATTTATCGTCTTCCACTAATTACAGACCTATCTCATTGGGTACGATTATAGGGAAAGTTTTTGAACGTTTGCAACCTGAACTGCAAAGGTGCTTGGAAATTGATGATGCGCAGTTTGGTTTCCGTCCCAATCTCTCAACAGACTCTGCCATTTTTGCTCTAAAGCACACCGTAAATCACTATGTTGGCTACAACACTACGGTTTACGCGTGTTTCCTCGACCTGAGTCGCGCTTTTGACCTAGTGAATTATGAAATTCTCTGGCAAAAATTAAGGGACTCGGGTGCTTCTGAAGAACTTGTGCGAATATTTGAGTTTTGGTACGGAAACCAAACTAACTACGTTTGCTGGGGCGACGCGACTTCCAATAGCTATAGGTTGGAATGCGGTGTACGTCAAGGCGGGCTCACATCTCCGGATCTTTTCAACTTGTATGTGAATGACTTAATGGGACGACTGAGGAGCACCAAAATTGGATGTCACGTGGGTGGGACCTGTGTTAACAGTCTTAGTTACGCTGATGACATGGTGCTCCTGAGTCCTTCCATTAAGGGCCTTAGGAAGCTACTTTCAGTCTGTGAGAAATATAGAAATTCCCATGGTCTGAAATACAATGCTCAAAAAACCGAAATGTTGGTATTTAAGGCAGGAAAGGGTCCGGATAACGTGCCTAGTGTAAAATTAAACGGTACACCTGTTCGGGTTGTAAGCCAATTCCGGTACTTATACTGACCGAAGATATGAAAGACGACGTGGACATAGAGCGTGAAAGAAGGGCGATGGCTGTTCGGGGTAATATGGTCGCCCGTAGGTTTAGTCGGTGTAGCAGGCAGGTAAAATTGACGCTGTTCAATGCCTATTGTGTCAGTTTCTACACCAGTCAACTGTGGATAAAGTACAGCAGGAGGTCGTATAGTACCATCAGGGTTCAATATAATGATATTTTTCGTATTCTGATGGGTCTGCCGAGATTTTGCAGTGCTTTTACAATGTTCGCGGAGGCTGGGGTATCGGACTTCTATGCTGTTATTAGGGCGCGCATAGCTTCTTTTTGGGAGGGACTGCGTTGCTCTGGTAACCGCATACTAAAATGTTTGTACGCGGATTTTAACAATCCAATTTATAGATATTGGCTATCTGTGCACACGGATGGAAATCGCAAATAGAAGATTGACGTTGTTATTATAATAATGTAAATGTATTTTTAATTAGTTTTTATATTTTTATATTGTATCATGTTTTAAATATGGGTCTTAGCTACCTGCAATAAATGATTTTATTATTATTATTATTTGCAACCTGCTTTGAAATTTTTAGGTAAAATGCGTCCAAAGTAAGGTTGTTCGATTATGATATAGTTGGTTGGCGAAATTATAGTCCGGTCAAATTACACAGAAAAATAAAGTGAAGGTACATAATTTTACGTCAAGCTGGATGTGAGTAAAATTATTCAAAACGTAATAAAACTGTTGTGACTATGTTATTATTGCAATTCCAACTGCATAATTGTACACAGTTTTTTAAGCAATAAAGTTATTATTATTATTATTATAAAAATAACATTTCAAAAGTATTATTTTGTAAATGGAGCTGAAATTGGAGGAAGACAAGCTAATTGCACTTTTTTTTATTTCGAGTTTCTAAAAAACGTGCAAATCGAATAGCGTTGGTGATAATTTCTTGTGAAGTTGAATTACTTTTTTTTAAACTTCAGCACATTATTTTTATAGATATACTCATGCATATTCAATATTAAAAAAAAATAGATACAATCACCGATACAAAAATATTTTAACTTATATTACAGCTACAGAGATGTCTACACGTGACGAACTTATGCACATTATGCCGCTTAGAACTTTGTAAATCGTTATATCAAAGGAACGGTGGCTCTTAGGAAAAAAATATATAAATACCTTTTTACCCGGCTGCGCAATGCAAGAGCGCGAAGCGCGACGCGCAGACAGGGTTATTATAGATAATTTTATGATCTACAATTTTTGTCTAAGATAATTTTACAACAAAACTTACCGTTATGATGAAAAGAGCGAATAACTAATATTTTTACATTTGACCTCGAGTCACGAACGATTTTAACGATGGAGAATTTTGATATGTTATTTTAATTACGTTTTTAAACAAATTAACTCACTTCCAGCTAGACGCAATAAAATTTATGAACCTCTGAATGTCTAGATTGACCGGACTATTATGACGTTTTAATTTTACGAGATGGATCATCAAGTAAAGAACGCAACTTCCTTGTAAATCTTGACATTATTTTTTAATTGGCTTTCGTTACGTTGTAATTATTTTTGTTTCGAATTATAAAATCAGGCTTTGCAGATTTATGCTGGCCCGCTTATATATGTAGCTACCGTCACAGACAAGCAGTTAACTTTCAATGAATAATATTGTATGTGTTTCGTTACCTTCTTCTGTAGCCTGATGACCGAGGTCCATTTCTTCTCGAGGAGCCCGCCGAACTTGCGGTCCATCTCGCCCGTCATGTCGGCCTCCTTCTTGAACGCTTCCAGCGCGTCCGTGTAGCCATTGCTGCCCAGATAGTCGGCGATAGCTTTATTCCTGGAAAAACAAGATGATTAGAATAGAGTCGTTTCTTACCTCTAGCACAACCGCGTGACACTACTAGTAGTATCTTAGGGAACTGTTAATCCTTTCAGCACTATCATTTCTGCTATAGGGACATAGGCTTGTCTGGTCAGTTTTTAAACTTTTATAAGGCTGCTGATTCGAAATTGATTTGAGCTTTATCAAAGTTTTAAAAAAAGTTTTAAGAATGTTTATTAATAAAGGAAACATACAATTTCAAATTTTCTGCAGAATTGTGGTTTTATTATAATTGAAATGTTCTTATCAAGCAATTTCTTATCCAAATACATACGCTTCACTTTCTTGAAGTTTTAATCATAATTCAAGACATACTTAATTAGTGACATTTAAACAGAGAAGACATGCTTAAAGAAACAATTAGTTTTACATATGGTTTACGTATTCTTTTGCAAAAAAACCACTAGAATTTCAGGGGCAACAGATATCCTGGAAATACGACTGATACAAAAAACACACTTATACAAACTTAGTTTAAAACCAGATGGTGCGGCATAATTAAACCTTGCGTTACGGCAAGTGAGCTTTTAACATTCGTTAAATAAAGGTTAGAAAATTGATCATCGGCTTGACGAAGAGGCATCGATCCTCAAGAGTGATATTATGAATTCACCGAACGCCGGCACAAGGTAAGTGTGCGCTAGAGTGTACACAATTTTTTTATATACACAATCATACTCGCGGATTATTATATTACTAGCGGCCGCCCGCGACTTTGTGTCCACGTTAATTTTAGTTTTTTGAGAATCCTTCAGTAACTTAGGATTTTATCGGGATAAAGAGTACCTGACGTGAGTAAAGTATGTGTCTCTATCCAGGTAATAAACTTTTTGTATGCCGAATTTCATCAAAATCCATTCAACAAACTTTCACATAAAACCCAGGTGTCATTGAGAGGAGCCCAAATTAATGTGAATCACATTTCTTGCTAATTCATCAACATCATTTTTTGAACATTCGCAAATGCGAAGGTGCATGCGAATATCTGGTATCGACATTCGGGAATGCGAATATTTAATTTTAGTTCAAAATTGTCGCCAATAGTCTATGGCATGGTGGCATTCTCGTTCGAATTGCCGAGTTGATATGAACTCATCAGGCTGAAGAGTCATTCCGCTCGCGCCGGTCTTTTCATAAACAAAACAAGTGAATTTTGAGGTTAGATTTTGAATAGTGATTTATTAACATGAGTAAATCAAATTCTAGTGAAATATGGACTTATTTCACACTTTGCGATGCTGAACGAGCTAAATGTAAGCTATGTAACAATGAATATTCAAGGAAAAATGCAATGCATAAAACCGAGTTTTCCCATTTTTTTTATTTTTTGTTAAAGAAGATGATTAATATAACATTAAAATATATGTAATAAAGTGGTGAAAAATTAGATTAAATAGTTCTAATAAATAAATTATTGTTAAGCTTCATTTCCCAAAGGAAAAAATAATAACTAAATAATGCCAAATGCTAAAGTCAAGACTAATAATGTGATTATGAGGTTAAGTTGATTTTTCTTGCATTAAAAAACATAAGAAATTAATGGATTTTGATTTTATGAACATACTATTCATACATCAATATTTTCAAATTGTTTTTTTCTAGCATTCATATTCGCAAAACATTCGCAGAAATTTTGCGAATGCGAATATGCAGAAATATGCGAATATTCGTTACATCACTAATGTGAATATTACAAAATACAAATTAATTCGATTAATACACTCACTCTCCAATATCGCTCATAGCAAAGGTTTTGTTTTTATTTCCATTTTCTTTATTTCCATAATCAAGGATATTTTTATACATATATATTTAAATCAAAAGGCAACATCAATAAATTGATATGTAAAACCTTATCCAAGGACCAGTGCCTTATCTTTTTGCGCTTCTGGTTTGCATTGTAGACCGGGAGATGATGACACAAAATACTTGGTCATTTGTACCAGTATGGCGGTTCTTCAGGGGTCTAATTACGTAAAGGCAAAAAGGAAAATGATGGTCATAGCGCTCGCACCGGCGGCCCAATCGCGTGGGCGTTAATCGAACGCGTCGGATAAATAACGAGTGTCGAACGATTTGTTCCACAAAAATGCTTATATTTTCAGATAGTCGAAAAAAAGAAGTAGGCGGTAGCGTAATGCCATACTTCTCGGGTGTGACTTACAGCCCGCCATACCGACGCGAATACATTAATTTAAATAAAACAATTCAACCATTTGTACCAGGCTAATTTTTGCACAGCTAATCATCGTCGTGTAGCCATTCACGAAAATCACCTTGCCATACTTTTCCGACAGTTCCCAATGGCCGCCATACCGCTGCAAAGGAGTAATTTTTTTTTTCGCCAAACGATTTGTACCACCCTGAAACTTTTTTTAACAGTTCCCCGTATGATCATAAATAGAAGTCTGATAATGCCATACCTGTGGGAGGTGGCGAATGTGAACAATATTTTTTCAAAGTCCCAAGATTTTATTCGTAATTCGAACGATTTGTTCCAGTATGGCGCTACTTTTTCCCTCTACTACAAGTATGGCAAATATAATAATGGTCACATTGTATCGTATAATTTCCAAAAATCCAAATGCCATACTGGTACAAATCGTCAAATTTTTTTTTTCTTTTTCACCTTTTAGCTCAAGTCCGACAGTCATCCGCCCCATGTTTACAATCTGTAATAATTTTTTTACGTACAATTGCATCCAAATGACGAGAATACAATGATGTCATGATGTAAAAAATGATTTTACGTATTTTGCAGTCGTATTTTTAAAACGTGTCAAATAAATAAGTATTTCAAGTATGGCAGCACTTTTTCCCCCTACTAGAAGTATGGGAAAAATAATAACGGTCACATTTTGCCAAATACTTTCCAAAAATTCAAATGAAATACTGGTACAAATCGTTTGGCGAAAAAAAAAAATTACTCCTTTGCAGCGGTATGGCGGCCATTGGGAACTGTCGGAAAAGTATGGCAAGGTGATTTTCGTGAATGGCTACTCGACGATGATTAGCTGTGCAAAAATTAGCCTGGTACAAATGATTGAATTGTTTTATTTAAGTTAATGTATTCGCGTCGGTATGGCGGGCTGTAAGTCACACCCGAGAAGTATGGGATTACGCTACCGCCTACTTCTTTTTTTCGACTATCTGAAAATATAAGCATTTTTGTGGAACAAATCGTTCGACACTCGTTATTTATCCGACGCGTTCGATTAACGCCCACGCGATTGTGCGCCGGTGCGAGCGCTATGACCATCATTTTCCTTTTTGCCTTTACGTAATTAGACCCCTGAAGAACCGCCATACTGGTACAAATGACCAAGTATTTTGTGTCATCATCTCCCGGTCTATTGGCATTAGTAACAAACAACAGTCGCGAAATACGAGTCAGCGAGTAGTGAAAGGTACAATCATATGACTTGCCCCTCTGGTGATTTGCTCCGATTCACAAAGTAGTACTCGGAGGTCTCTGAGTCACGTTACAATAGCGTTCATGTAATATTGAAGGTGCCCATTTCTAGAATCGACGAAAAATAAAAACCAGGCAGGGTCATGGCAGGGTTTGATTTGAATTAAATAATGTGTTTTAATTAAAGTGGCTATAATTACACTAGAGAATTAACTTAAGTCCGATAAAACATATTAGTATTAAATATGGTTATGTACAAAATTTAATGTTATATGTGGTGTACAATAAAGTGTTTTGTATTGTATTATAGGTAAGGTGAACCTAGTTCATGTTCTTTGATTAAAAATATTATTAATACCGAGGAGTTTCCAAAAAAAGCATAAGTGTGTGCGCTGCGTTATGCTCCCAAAACACGGAGCGGACGTCCGCGTCCCGTGCAGTTTTTATGTCATTTCATCTTCGATCAACAATTCTATAGATAACGGGTTGCATACAAAATCAAAGCTAAAAACTGTCCACGTATATTTAAACTTATGCAGCTACATTCGATTCCCAATGAACAAACAAATGTTTTAAAACAGTTTAAGTTGAACCTAATAAAACTATCTCACAAAGGAATAAGCTTACAAATAACAAAATGTTATTTCACACATTCGACCTTTTACCTTATAAAACGAACTCTTGTTCCTTTTATAAATTATTTCTGATACTTGGAAAAAAAACGATAAAGGTGAAAAAAGGAAAATGTGAAATCAACCTTATGACCCACAATATAAAATGTTTTTAACAGTCATTGGCCAGCGAGTTACTTCGTTTTGTATTAAACGAACTCATTTAAAATAAGATCTCACGCCTCAAGTGAGGCTATATTTACCGCAACGCATTTTAAGCGCTGACCTGTTCGTTATCTATAGAATTGTTGATTGAAGCATTTCATCAACATTTCATAGAACAGTGCGATTATCGCCTCACATAGCGCCCCTCTATGAAAAAGCATGAAACAAAGCAGGCTATATTAACGCGTTGTTTCATCCATAGTTAAACTTGACTATAGTTAATGACACGTCAAATACATAGTTAATATGTAAAATTTTGAGAAATGGTTATTTTTTTAACTACCTATATAGATGAAACAACGCGGCTTAAGGTTATGTAATACTATGGGCTAAGTGATTTGTGTTAAAAAATCTGTTCCAAATTCTGTGTAAAGTAACATGATAGCGAGTATACACGTGACATCCAATTTGAATGGAAGCCATCGAACTTGTCCTAATTCGATAAGCTGCCCTTGCAACAATAATGTGCTATATCCGTAATTATAAAGTCTTGTTACGCGTGGCTAGCGCATGGATACCGGTTTTCTGTGACATCTTTCATGAAATTATTACTGATGACAGTATTGTAGGACAGTGAGATTGCTAGTATAATAATCATACAATAATACGTAATGAGATGGCGCTTTAATGTGGTGAAATGGTTGCAATCGTGGGGTAAATTTTGTAATAATGAGTTCATAGCTTAGACACTTTAAATGCTTTGTGCT